TGATACACTTTACTCTTCAAGCATCATAGGCAAAAAACATAAAAAAGTTTATAATTTTTTTGAAAAAGGTGAAATTGGCAGTAAACTCTTGATTGAAGTAATACGTCTTTGGCGCGTTTTTAAAAAATTATGTAAAGTAAATTTTTTATGATGCGCACGCACGCCGAACCCCAAATAAACATGATGAAGTGAGTGTTACTATGGCAAACAATAAAGCACATTTACTAAATTCAAGTTATAATGGCATTTATTGTCTTTTTCACCAAACTATTTTTAATTATTTTTCTTCTGTTACTATAAAGAAGTATAACTTCTGACGTGCGTACATAAAGTACAAACATACTTCTTTTTCTTGATTTACTGTATTGTGCAATGTCCGTAGGTGTCGAAGAAAATGTCGATGAAAAAAATCTATATCAGAAAAATTAAGACAATAAAATATATGTAAAGTACCGAAAACGAATATAAATATGTTATCGTATACATACAATGGAATAATTAGATTAGACAAAATTTTATGGAGTGATCCGTAGGAACATGGGATTTTTCTAATGAAACCTTTCTGGGTCAAATTGGAAATTCAAAAAGCACTATTTCCAAAAGTGTTATATGCATTATTTATATTTGTTTGTTTAAATTTAGCAGCTTGGTTTAAATATTATTCAACCGCAACGGATGCCCCAATTGAATACATATTTTGTACCATTTAAAAATAAATCCACACCTAGCTAAATTTTATAACCTAATCTGCGTACGTTTTAGGGTTAACCCCCAGCTGTCAAATGGCTTTTCAAATGTTATTTGAGTTTTCAAAAGGAATTTGACAAAAGCCATTTGACAGCTGATTAGGTAACTTCTACGATGATCAGTGTTTCGGAAACCGGGCGTGAGTCATTCTATTCAGAATAGTGGAAGTAACTATACTTCCATGATTGTAAGGGACCTAAGTAATGCAAAAAAAATATTAAGGCTTTCAAATTATCGTTGGTAGATGCCTCCGCCATTGCTTGGGGTGACCTATCTTTGTCAACTGCTACTGTGCAACGAGTGGCCGAACCCCACACGGAGAAAAAATTTCTTTAATCCATAATCAGTTTTTTCAAGTCTGGTATGTCTTTTAGTCCGTTATATTGATGCTTGTAAAATCTTATCGTTTTAATAAAATAGAACCATTTCAATTTTTAAATATAGAACAAAACAATACAAAAATGCAGCAAAAACACAGTAAATCGAAAAATTTCAAAGTTTTAAGTGGTCATCGTTTCAATTAAAATATTTACGATTGTATAACCGTTAATTGACAAAGTTCAGACAAAATAAAGTAAACAAAACTTGCGCATTTTAATTATCTCCTCCGCGTTAATGGAGCGAGAAGAATCACGAATAAATTTCCTAAATTCAGCCGTGTACACAAAAATCCAATGTCACGGCTGCACTACGTGTAGGAGAAAGTCCTATCGTAACTCGTATCTTGTAAATCGTCGGCGCAGCTGCTAGTTATATAACCTCTGTCGCTTCTCCACGAGACGCGCTAAATTTGTATTTATATTTTGTTTACTTTTCTACAGTTTTATAGGTAATTAAAGTATTACTCATCGTAATAAATCCGTAAACGATGTTAACAGTTCAATCGCCTCATTATAATGGAAATATATCATAAAATTATTTTTAAAACATGTAGTTATGCAATCAACTAACACCGAGCCGGATTTGTGACTCGTTTAATTAAATTATATTAAACGGATCACTCGCTAAACGCCACCGAGTACTAAATCCAATAACACAGATTATAAAGTAACGCAATATCTCAGGTAATGAATGTGTCGACAGACAGCGTTCGCTTTAACCGGCCCTCGGAGCCCGCATTCAGCCTCGATATTAATAATAATAAAGATAAGTGAATAGCAGATCATGGAAAACGGCCAAGGGCGTTGCATCCGCGGCAGACGTTGCTGCAAACTCCAAGGCAATGACTACAGTCTGTGAAATCTGGATTTCGTCAAAAAACTTCATTGACCTTAACCCGGCACACAACGCCCGCATCTCAGATTATTTTTACGAATGACTGATGACGGCAGTAGGGGCCACTAAGAGAAATCTAATCATCTCATCAAAACATTAAAACAATAGTCATAGTTTAGAGCGATTTCAATTCAAAGCACGTTCTATTTAGTGAACGAACTTAGTCCTTGATTTCATAACGGCAGTTTCCGGGGCCGACTCTTGTACTTACGTTTAATAACAAATAAGTGCTAATAATACTAAACGAGCACTAGAACCAACTAGACCGATTTATCAATTAGTTTTATGCAACTTTGCTTTACAAAACTGGTAGCAGAGCCGTTTACGTACTATAACTTCAATCGAGTAACGTATTAATTAAAATTATTTTAATACACTATTAAAACATTTTCAATGGCATTAAAATAAAAAATATACAGATTTTTATTTTAAAACTCCCTTAAGAGGATGTTTTAAGAATAACTTTCGATAGGATATTTTATGTACAAATGTTTTCCGGTTTCCCGACCTGTCACACTTTGAAAGTTCTTTAATTTCCCATTTAAACGACAAAAATATATCACCCACGCCGACAAACGTACCCTTGCCGTTTATTGAACATGGTTTAGCTTTTATGATACAAATACATTTTGAAAAATATTTGTATAAATAAAAATGAAATAAATGTATATGAATAACAACGATCCCAGGTGGGTTAGCGGAGGTATTCAAACAAAAATGACTAGGTCGTCCGAAAGGTTACGACACAATCTCACAGAAATTCATGAATAAATACAATTTTAAAAAAGTAACAGTGTTTAAAGTATCGAAGTTTGTAAAAAGTGCGTAAACCTTAATGTTTACGTAGAACAGGCCAATGTACCAGTTCCGTCTAGATGACCGTACATTGTCGTATTGATGGCGCCACTCTCAGACGGAAGCATTGTCTTATCCCGACTTTCTTTTCTATATCCATACTATTTCTGTTGCATAGTTAATACGAGAGATTATTCAGTGTTATTCAGTGTTAAAACGAACAGTTTGTCACGATATAATTTTTTTACATTTTCCAAATGGGTACATTTAATCTAGTGTAATATAAAAATAAACTCAGCGTTCAAATGCCCACGTCTAATTTACGATACCCAAAGAAAACTACTAAAGATGATATATATTAAAAATACGCATAGTTCCTTAGATATACTGACCCAAATACTGTGGTCATTCGCGCGTGAGCACGACATTCAACGCGAGAAATTATGTTCGCGTGCACAAAACAAAACGTTAACAACTTAATATAGTGTGACTAATTACACAGGAGATTTCAGGTTGTGTGTTTTGTATCTCGGCAGTGTTGTAACGGTATGATGTCGTCGATTCCGCCGTAACTAGAGCACCGAGACTATACTGGACTAACTGGCGGGCAAACACATTTGTTGGATGTTTTACTCTTTACAACAATTGTATAGGGCCACAATGCTAGAGGAAACTATATTGGAGTAATATTATTGTTACAGAATTGAAATGCAAGAGATTTCGGATCATAATTTAAAATAAAAAGAAAACTTTCTAATTCTTGAACTCGTTTGGCAAATATATCATATTATTTTTAGCAATAAGGACATTTTTACGTCTGATTCAGAATATTGATGTACACTAGACACTTTAACCAGTTTGTGCTTACTTTCGCCAATAGTTTCCATGATGACATTTAGTGTAAGCATTAAGATGTTAGAGAAAACTTATAAGGAGATGGTAAAAGTTGGTATTAGAATTGGTTAACTTATTTTTTCTTTACTTTCATTGACGCTTGTATAACTGACTAATTTTTCATGTTTATCTGATGTCAGAGCAATCGCAATAGAGGGAAATGCGACCGGGTTAGTAGATACGATGTTCGATCAGCCTTGGCCTATTTTTCGCGATGTTAGTAGGTCAAAGGGTGGACAAGTACTTGTATTTTGATCTCATTTTATCTTCAATAGATAAGAAAATTAATACGCGAATATTTCCTGTTACAATAACAATGAACACATTAAAGACGTTGTACATGATATTTTGTAATAAATCTTTACAGTTTATACATTACGTTCATAATCAACTTAAAGTACAAATTTAAAATTATTTATTGTAATTATTTCTACTCATGTTCATCAGTCATGTTAATGATGCACAGAAATCCGAAAATATGTTAGTACCTAATATCTACGGAAAATTAATATAATACCAGATAATGACTTAGTAATTTCTGAATCCATCTTGTATAAATTTTATAGAACCATTAATTTAGACGCAGTATAATTTATTTATTTGTTTTGGAGCTTTACTGGACAACAAACAAAATATGTATGGAAATATTTAACACTTTGGTGCGAGAATAGATATGCTCCCAATATGTTTGAAGTCGTAAAACGTTCGTAAATATCACTTTCTCTTTACAAAATTGATCGTGTACAAAACATTTCTAAGATTATTTCCCAACTAAGCTATATTTTGTATAAAGCCGATATATACATATTTTTTAAATAAAGTATTTTTCTATTTATTAATTTCTTTAAGTAAATACCCTTTATATAGTGGGCCTTTGCCCAGTGGATTATATATAGCCTATTAATTAACTTTACGTACCATTGTTCATATATACAATATGCTTTTGTGTAAAACGTTAATACGTTTTTGTGTAAAAAGTGAACTTCTTTCTATTATAATATACTGTAATATTTAATTCTAGTATAACATAATCATATATTGAACATTTGCATAAATTTGCTGAAAATCGCAATTTAACTCGAACGAAATTAATTAATTATTGCCGGTACATGATTGTATATGTTATTAAATCTTAAAAAATTTAACCTAATCTTTAATAAAGGACTTGACAAAACGACATTTGTAATTGAAATAACAACAGGTTTATTAACACATTTAAAATAAATTCAACCTACCAAAATTTAAATTATAAATTATTTTAATGTAGAGTGTATTGATGAACCCCTTACCAATCGTTTTCAAAATCTGCAAATCATCCAATTCGTATTCCTTTTCCTCCTCAGAATAATCGGACTCTGTTGCTGTGGTAGACTCCTGCTCCTCCGATGAGGAAGCCACCGACAAAGATCGTACGTCTGAACCCAAATCCGAGCTGCATTCCCGTACCAATTTCGCACTGGCCATCATCATTTTTAAAAGTATCCGTTACGAAAATTAAAAAGAAAATGAAACTAAATATCTGACACGATTTTTATTTTAACGCATTTTAACGCATATATAAAAATGATTTAGTTTTTAATTGGTGTTATTTAATTAAAATTTATCCAGTGTAATAATAAGGCGAAATATATTAAATGATCAAAGTTTTAACATCGAACGAGTGCTAAAACGTGAGTCGAAGTATAAGAAGGAAACACATTCGCTTCTCACCGCGGCTCGTTTCTCACTGGCACAACCACTGTACCGATATAGAGATCGGATCAGAATCAGCTATACGTACGGCGTGTAATACGTATAATTCACTTTTTATTTCTTCTCTACATCAACTTTTTAAAAGTTTGCAGTTCGTGTTTGAATATGTTTACTTTCAAATATTTAGAAATAATACGAAAAGATTGTCGCCGCTGTGGGAATCTAACCCACGTCTTCGGCATTCGCGGCCTGGCGATTTAGCCACTAAGCTAAACGGCTGAAAGTCACACCGACGAAATATTTAGCATTTGAAGCAATGCTTGGCGCATCTATTGTTATATACTTTTCAGCATACAATTTCGAATATCGATTTACGCTTTATTATTATTTATACATTTTATTAATTATTTATTACGTTTTATTGCTTTAAACATTAAAATTTGTAGAAAAAATTTTAGGCATGTTAATAGAAAATAAAACTGTCAAAAAACTTTTGTCAAGATAAGTAGTATATAGATAAAATAGGATTTTCACTGTAGCAGTGATGGATTAAAGTGTTTATTTATATACTTTTCAATTGATCTGTTATCAATATGACTCACAGCATTTAACTGCTTTGAGTCATTATTCAAGTATCACAACTATTGAGAAGGTAAATGTTGGGCCAAGAGGATTTCCCATATGTAAACTAATAGTTATCTTGAAGTACCATCGTCAGTTGCGTAAATTTTGCTTCCGCACATATCATGAGAAGCATTGGAAGCATGCTACGCAACAGCTTATGTACTTTTTTACTACTTTTGTCCAACATCATATTGGTTTAATTTAAATGCAAATATTCTATGTTCTTAACATCAACTGGCATTGTAGCAGCGATTTTTTTTAATCTCTAATTCTCAGACTGTTGCTTAGTTTTCGTCCATTTTGCTTACAAATTTTAACGTTTCATCTTTAGTGTAGAGAGTATGACTATAAAAAAATAATTTAACTTGACCTCCAACCAAGACCCTATAAAACAAAAAACATGTTTTCATTAATACTTATTTAGCGTCGGATTCGCTATGTTACTATGTCTTACGGTTGGAGATTTGAATCCCAGTGGCTTGTTCCAAACCTCCTTTCAACCTGATTTCGATGAGGGCTGGCACCAATGAAATATTAATTTTAAGTAGGCTTATCATCTTTCGTATAAAACATCGTGAAGAAACCTTCCTATTTACGAAATAATAAAAAAAATATTTCGAAAATATGTAAAGTCCACAAAACCGCAGTGGGGTCGTGTGGTGGACTATGCCCTCATGCCCTGATACCTTCTGTACAAAGGAGGCCTTTTCCCGGCAATGGGACTTGTATGGGCTGTGACTTTACCTACTCGAACAACCTGAGTTCAAATGACTGCGTAAGCACTAATGAAATTATAGATTGCAATTTAAAGTGCCGACTTTCACGCGCTCATCGGTGAAGGGAACTTCTTAAGGAAACCTGCACATTTTCGAAATAATAATATTTATTACTATTATTTGAAGAAAACATTTGGAGGATATATGAGGTCTGCCAATCCGCAGTTGGGTCGGCTGATACTTTACTTTTATTGTAGAACATGGTCGATGCTTCAGCCGTATTAACTTTCATTGTCTATATAGTTCAAGTTAACTGTCAGAACCTATTAAATGAATCAATATTTATTCAATAAAATCCTTTGACTTTTATGGGGGCTAAAAGTTAAGGTTAAGGAAATAAAAGTTAAAAAAGAATATTTTTCTTGTAGTAACACTTTATTACCCAACAAGCTAATTACAAACGAGATTTACATAACTACAATGAAGTTAAAATAATATTAATATCACTGATATCCGATATATGTGTTTCTTAATCGTACGCCTAAGAATAAATAAAATTTACCGTTACGTTACCTAATTTACATAATATGGTTTATATGGTCAACAAATAACATTTACCTATTTAATACGTGCTTAGCTTAAAGTTGAGATACATTGTAAAACTCTTTTTAGATTACTTGTAATAAATTAAAAGTTTGGTAATTCCGAAGAATTTTAACTGGGAAAAAGTAGTGTGAATAAATTATTGTGGTCACAAATTGTTTTTATGAATTGTAGAATATAATTCAAACCGAAACATTCAATCTCATACATGTGAAGGAAATATTAGGAAAGGAAATCTAATAAACCATCGTTTTCTTGCATATATATGAAGTTGAAAATAATTTTGAACACTTCACATCTCCACACATACGTGTTTGCTCACGTATTCCATAGATTAAACATCTGCTAAATAAATATGGCAATATTTTATAACATGTTGTATCCCCATTTTAATTATAAAGACTAAACCCCACATACTATAAATTATAGACAATTTGAATTTTCCATGTCTGATGTAGGATGTAAATATATTCATTACCAAGTAAATAATGTGATGATATTACGTGTCAATAATAAAGCAATAATTTATAAAAACGTATAACAGTTTGCATAGCTTCAAAAACATGTTTGTACGTTATTGTATCTAATACATATAATTTATATGTAAGTTTTCATAATTAATCTGTAATTTTCGAAGCAAGCAAACAATCAGAGCCAGAAAGTAATTTTAATCTGAATAATTTAAATAACTGAAGCAGTTTAAAAAAATGTGTTTTAACACAATAAACACCGCAATAATTATTAAAATTGGAGTAGGTGTTAAAATATTTAATAAAACTATTATTTTCCCGCCGATTAACATAGGGTCACACTATAATTCATCAACCAAAACAAATGCCAATATGACTTTGTTTAAAAGCGACAGAAGTAGGATATTTACAAAAATTTATACATATATATCTTTATTATATTTATAAAATAAAAATATGTTATATACATAATTACATGTACAATAAGTCAAAACATATTTGACGTAAAGTAACGTGCTTTAAATTTTATAGTTGTCCTAATTGGAATTAATTTTATATATGACAATTATGATGGTCTTTGTTAAACCTAACTTCAAAATTTCATGATTCATAGTGACAATATATTCGTTAAATGATAGAAGAAAACATTCAATAGAAAAACACTGCTATATATATTATTCCCATTATAAAAAAATAACTAAAATGATCATCTTTTATCAACAATTCGATGGCAAGTGGAGATAACAAAAGACAATAATTGATAAAAAAACGAACTAAAGTTTAGATACTGCACAGTCGAATAAAATTATAATAATCCAAGTCAATCAGCATACTTGATAATTTTCTTATATACAGCAAAAGAGGATTCGCACCTTCTTAGAAATCATATAAAGTTGAATGTGGTAGGCATAGGCACTAAATAAACTTCTCTAATAAATACAACAGCACATTAAACAATATTCTACTTTATGCATTTTTTTTTTGTTATTGCATTTAACTGTTTCCATAAATAATACTTTAAAATGGGGTATTTATCTATAACATCAATATATAAATGTAAATAATTAACCGATTGAGTAAAATTAAAAACAAGACATATATGAGTTTAGGATCAATGATGATAACAAAATAACCTCTTCGGATAAAAGAAATGAGTTTAGAATGTACATTTTCATATATTTTATTTTGAATAAAATAATAATTATCTAATTACCTGCCTTTGCTTATTTAACATTCATACATTCATTCACCTTCAATGGTAAGGAAACGAAAGCTGGGTATTGAATAAGTATACTGAATAACAAAAGAGAAAATTTAGCCACGAAGTTATAAGATTTTTTCCACTCTGAAACAAACTATTTCGTAAGACGGATGGAGTGAGCGAAACGACGGTCATTTACGTACTATTTTAACAAGCTGTTAGAGGCCAATTTCAATTCATAGGCGAAGTGCAAAAGTGCAAATCGTACCGAATGAGGCTGCGCATACTATCAATAAGTATTTGATTATTTTCCAAACCTAACAAACATTCAGTATACGAATAAAGATCGAACGTATAAAGATCGCCCAAGTATTACCCATCAGCCAAAAGAAAAACAAAAGGTAATCGATCCGGGCAGATAATTTAATATCCTCCAGAAGCCACGGGGTCCAGTGCATACTTCAGTAAAAATAGTAAGGTGGTTGCAAAACGACAGAAGAGATTCACTTTTACGACAGAGTTGCGTATGAATAATGTCTATATGTTGACAATGAAGAGGAGGCCGGCACATGATAATGGTATTGGGTGCGATTTTTACGATAGAGTTGCGTATGAATAATGTCTACATGTTGACGATGAAGAGGAAGCCGGCACATGGTAATGGTATTGGGTGCGTTTTTTAATACCGAGTTGCGTATGAATAATGTCTATATGTTGACGATGAAGAGGAGGCCGGCACATGATAATGGTATTGGGTGCGTTTTTTACGACAGAGTTGCGTATTAAGCGGCACATGATAATGGTATTGGGTGCGTTTTTTACGACAGAGTTGCGTATGAAGAATGTCTATATGTTGACGATAAAGAGGAGGCCGGCACATGGTAATGGCATTGGGTGCGTTTTTTACGACAAAGTTGCGTATGAAGAATGTCTATATGTTGACGATGAAGAGGAGGCCGGCACATGGTAATGGTATTGGGTGCGTTTTTTACGACAGAGTTGCGTATGAAGAATGTCTATATGTTGACGATAAAGAGGAGGCCGGCACATGGTAATGGCATTGGGTGCGTTTTTTACGACAAAGTTGCGTATGAAGAATGTCTATATGTTGACGATGAAGAGGAGGCCGGCACATGGTAATGGTATTGGGTGCGTTTTTTAATACAGAGTTGCGTATGAATAATGTCTATATGCTGACGATAAAGAGGAGGCCGGCACATGGTAATGGCATTGGGTGCGTTTTTTACGACAAAGTTGCGTATGAAGAATGTCTATATGTTGACGATGAAGAGGAGGCCGGCACAGTTGACGATAAAGAGGAGGCCGGCACATGGTAATGGCATTGGGTGCGTTTTTTACGACAAAGTTGCGTATGAAGAATGTCTATATATTGACGATGAAGAGGAGGCCGGCACATGGTAATGGTATTGGGTGCGTTTTTTAATACAGAGTTGCGTATGAATAATCTCTATATGCTGACGATAAAGAGGAGGCCGGCACATGGTAATGGCATTGGGTGTGTTTTTTACGACAGAGTTGCGTATGAAGAATGTCTATATGTTGACGATGAAGAGGAGGCCGGCACATGGTAATGGTATTGGGTGCGTTTTTTAATACAGAGTTGCGTATGAATAATGTCTATATGCTGACGATAAAGAGGAGGCCGGCAAATGGTAATGGCATTGGGTGTGTTTTTTACGACAGAGTTGCGTATGAATAATGTCTATATGTTGACGATGAAGAGGAGGCCGGCACATGATAATGGCATTGGGTGTGTTTTTTTACGACAGAGTTGCGTATGAATAATGTCTATATGTTGACGATGAAGAGGAGGCCGGCCTGCGAGGCGACCGCCAGCTTTCCGTGGCGCGTGGGCGACGTGCAGAACGCCATCGCGGTCACGTCCGCCAACGGGAAGCGCTCGGGGAAGTTCTGCGTCGTCTCGCCGTGCAGGCCCCGCTTGTCCGCCTGCGGAACAATCCGTCACACTCAACAGCTCGTTCTATTTCGACACTTGAATATTAACCTTGTTATTTACTCTTATCTCTTTTGGACGATCGACGTGGTTTTGATGAAAATTTAAAGGTTCTCTTTTTGACGATTGGAATTTCATTGGAATTGAAAATTGAAAATCATTTGAAAATTTGAAAGGGTGATTGATCAATTTATTTATCAAATACAGCGTTTACAGTCATACGTCTTACAATCATATCGAGCTTTAATTGTTGATAATAAGTAATTAAAAGTGCAACAGACAATGAACTATAACTGATAACATAAGAAATAAGTGCGGTTAAATTTAGTTAAAATCCCATAATTTTTTCGCATAAATAAATCGTTTTAGGGTTACATAAGCGTTTAGTTTGGATCTTCACTCTCTGTAATACACGTGTACGCACCCTTTCCATGTGAGTCTTGAGTTTAAACTCGATTCCATATTCCTTAATGGCTTCATCGTAAGTCAACGGCTCCACTTTCATAGACAACTCGTCATTAACGTGTTTCCTCTTCTTTTTACTTAACGGCAACATGCGCAAGTAGCCCACCATCTGTAATTTATATTAAACTTATATTTTATATAAATGGTACCATTATTTGTCTCTTTATGCGTAGGTAGGAGAATTTAAAGGTGTAGTAGTAAAAGATTTTACGTGAATGGTTAATGTAACCCGGTAAAACTCAAAAATTCCGCTGAAGTCTTGATATGTGCATGAGCATCATGTCAGCGTCTATTTCTTATAATGCTCTCCTCGTGGTCTTTATTTTTTTGCCCAATCTTCCTATTGCAGGGAAGTGGCTGTACATGCATATTTTATTTCTTTACGTGAAAATTTGGTATGAGAGCAGGCGGTTCACCCGATATTGAGTGATGTACCGCCGCTCATGTACATCTATCTACAACATCTGATGGGTTGCAAATGCATTGCCAACATTAAAAAAATGGCCACCAAATACCTCACTTACCAGACAAAACGCGAAAATATACATTTCATGCTTACACTTCACGCCGGTCTTCTGTTAGGGCGTGATACTTCCCCGGACGACCCTGCCCATTCGTGCAACAGCCTAAGCTGCTGGCGTGGCCCTACCACTTTTTAACATGCAAATTAGGGTCAAACTCGATGAACATTTCCCATTAATACACTGCAGTGTGAAATGCAGCATGAGATTTGAACTTACGTCGCGACGCGGATCCCTGTACGCTGGGTGGGTGCGCGTGACGCGCAACACCGGGGGCGAATAAACCACGCCCAGGCCGCAGCGGGCGCACGTGGCCAGCGCACGTTGAGCCCCGAGACGCCGCCCGCCGCCCTGCCACTCCAGCTCGTTCATCGAGTGGGTCACTGCAAATACCACGTCGTCACTCCTTTGTCTACTAGAAGCCGAGAAGTTACTTGGACGAGCAAACAATATCGGAAAAATTATAATATTATGTTAGGTACTATAGAGGACTGTCCGCCAATCCGCAGTGGGGCCGCGTGGTGGACTATGCCCTGATACCCTCTGTATAGGGGATGCCTTTTCCCAGCAGTGGGACATGTATAGGCTGTTACTTTTACTTTACTGTAGAGGAAATGGAGTAACGTACATGCGGCGCAAGGGGAGTGAGAAAAACTCGACATACGTACGTAATAGGAAAGCGTAAAAGCGCAAACATCAATCATATGTAGTGTACTTAACCTGTAGATAAAGCTTTTATCAACTGATTAAACTAAACAACAACCCATGACGAAATAAAATCCTTGTCTTTATCTTTATTGGATCATGTTCTTGTTATCATTGGTCTTTGTATTTGTCATGATTGATGTTTGCGCTTTCACGCTTCACTATTGCCATAAACAGTAAGTTCGAGCACTCCCGTTAAAATTATTAGCAATACCGTACATTACATTAGTTACAGTATCTTTATATTGATATTTAGTATATTCACATGCTTTCAGCTTACATCTTTTACATTTTTTTTTCCATTTACTTTATAACACGAAACGAGGAGTCTTTATTTCCTTTACCTCCGATCACATTGAATATCTGCCTCACGTTGGACGACAAGCATTGGCTAGTCAGAAGTAAAAAAAGAATAAAAAATATGACATAAGTGTTTCAATATGTTGAACGTCAATCACACTCAATCGAATAGTAAAAAAAAAAAGAAAAAAAATGTCACATAAAGCGAGTCTCATCACGACGGACGTCAAGCACGGGTCTGTCTGAGGTGAGAGAAAAAAAATAGCACGTAAAAGGTATTCTCAACACGACGGACGTCAAACACTGGTCAGTCAAGAGGTAAGAGAAAAAAAAATAAAACGTAAAGGCGAGTCTCGACACAAAGTACATCCAGCACTAGCCGGTCAGTTAAACAAAAAAGAAGAAAAACAAAAGTGGGCGCTCACCGATAGCGTCGTCGGCGGTGACGAGGATGGAGGGCCAGTGGGGCGTGAAGGGCGCGCGCACGGTGGCCAGCTGCGTGTGGAGGCGCGGGGCGGGCGCGCGCAGGGCCGCGTGCGCGCCCGTGCACGACGCGCTGCACGAGGCGCCCCACGCGCCGCCGCCCGCGCCCGCGTCCGACGCGAACAGGCCCACGTCTGACCACAGATACCGTCACACTTTTACATCGCTCGACCCCAACGCCGGGGGATCGTTCACGCGTGACGTAGGCGATGACGTCGCCGCTCGCTGAGACTTGTTCCCTTTTTTTTAACGTGGGAAAAATCCTTTATGGATCCCCCTGCCATTCTGCCTCTGCCTGCCAGTGGAGTGACAGGAGTATATGGGAGTCCCGAATGGGTACCCATTAAGGCACCCACGTTGCACCTGTCACTCACGCATCGATTCAATATTTGCACCGCAGATATCGAACAGTGCAAGCGATAGCACTGTGACGTTACCGAATTAGACTGCGACGATATTGCTTTTAATAGTTAACGGAATGAAAAACTGTTAAGATTTTCTGTAAAAATACATAATTATGTGAAAATGAAATACTACAATTAAATTTCAAACCCATTAAATGTACAACACATTTATTTTATAATAAGTTTGATAAAAATATCTTTTTTCTTTTATATAAGCAATGTTTCTATTTAGATTTGGTCCTTCAACTGTCAAATTGTTAAAGCACATACCCAAAACGCAACCGTTGTGTGGTCGCTCGTCTTCGAAAGGATGCAGGATCGTAACACCGTCCTCCACCGATTTCAACAGAGGCGAATCGCAATTTAAGTCGTAAAAAGCCGTTGAGCCATCCGCGTAACCGACGAATATAATTGCATGACCTTTTTGCTGAAAACAAACATGTAAATGAGATCTCGTGTGATCTAGAGTTGGGTAGTGAATACAACTGAGAAGGTTAATAAAACTCTGAGCTAATAATTTACCTGTGACCAGGAAATAGCGGTAGCTTGGTATTGCTTCCTTTCATCGCCGCTACATAACCGAAGTTCTATCACTGGTTTTATCTTTATGAATTGCGCTTCCCTTAAACAGTAAGATAAATCTAAATAGTAAAAATAATATTTAAAATTATTAGACTAGTTAAAATTTTTGTGAACAAAGCACTGAAAACAAGCGCTGCGTTGGGATTTGATTCCTGGCACATAATGGTGAGCTATTGATCTAATTAACCGGTAATAGGACGCACATTTTCGTTTAAAATTTAATTTACTTTTACGCTGTTTTTATGCTACCGCATAGTTTTAAATTTGAATTTTATTTCGATTTTGTTTTTACTGTTTCTATAATATTTGTTGTAAAACTAATTTTTTTTTGTTGTGTGCGTTCTTTTTCTCGGTAAATAAATATATTTTCTTTCTTTCCTACTAAATGAAACTAGTTTACGGATTTCTTTCTCCCAATATATAATTTATGACCTTATTTGCAAGTTTCTAAAAAAGTTAAGTTTTTAGTTCTTTAATGAATATGAGTGAACCCCATGTTCACTTACTGCGATTCGCCTGTTTTCGGATAAGGCACCACAAGAACGTACGCAGCACCATTCGAACAGGCAATGGCCAATAGGCCCAGCCTCGCTTCGGTGTCACCGCCCCCCGCGGGCTGGCAGTCCCTCACGCCGGACGGACACCAATCCATCGACCATACAGTGCCAAAGTCGTGCGCTATCCCAAGCGCAAACTTGGGAATCCTGCAACAAAAACTAATATCTAAAGTATACATATCTTTCAAAGTTTAACTAAGCAATGGGACCTTCTTAAATTAATTAAATTGATTTAATTTATATAAAGTGTTATTTAAATTGTGTGAAGTATATCGTTTGAATTAAATTAATGTGTCTGAAAACTAAAATTCTGTCCCATTATTAAGTAGACGCTTTGCTGTTTTTTACGCTTTGCTGTTGCGTCTTATTGGGCAACAATGATTCCCGTATTAAATAAAGTATATTTCAATTCTTATAGTGCTAATCTTTTTATCTTAAGTGAAGAGATTTCCTTCATCTGATCCTTCATTAGGATTTTATGACTTTGTCAATGTTAAGAGAAACTTTCGTCTAACCACGTGAAAAGGAAAAAGAATATTCCGACTTTAATGCCATCTTGCACTTTTTTGTGATGCGCGTCATCATAACGATGGTGTTATGATGACGCGCAGATGACAGTTGGTGAAGGAGAAAATCCACATAAGCTGCAATAAGGCGATAAGGAAGGCGGTCATATGCGGAATAGTGTGGAACATCCTAGAGATCGACAACGGGTCGTCTGGTAATCCTCACGACGCGAAAACGAGGGGCTATGTACCACAGTGCCGTAGTAGCAGCTGCGAGAACTGTAACGAGACCGTAAAACCCTTCGTCAGCTGGACTTTGCGGGGGAGACAGGAGAAAGATACCTAATAAATTAATGCTGCCTTGTGCGCTAAGGCTGGCAGGGAAAGAGTGAATGCACATGGAAAAGGCAGCAAAATACAGCTATAGCGGCAGCACTGCACGAGAGGGAATAAGATACCTGTCAGTCATGCTGTCACAAGCTGGGCTGGTCGGGAAAGAGTAAACGCGCATCGCAAAGGCCACACGAAATAGCTATGGCGGAAGCACTGTGCGAAGATATTTGTGTAAGTCAGTCTGCCATACGAGCTGGGCCGGCCGGAAAAGAGTGAATGCACTTGGCAAAAGCCGCAAACCTCAACTGCGGCGACAGCACGAGATAGTGAGAGATACATGTCAGTCATGCAACCACGGGATCTAGGTCCGGGAGAGAGTGATTGAGAGTGAACGCAACCGACAAAAGCCGCCACGCCCAACTACAAACGCAAGGCGAGAGAGAGGGAGATACATGTCAAAGTAATACTGCCACGTGCGCTGGTGCCGGCAGGAAGGGGTGAACGCAGCTTTCAAAAGCCGCATCGCCCAACTACAGCTGCACAGTAAGAGAGAGAGGGAGATGCTTGTCAATCATGCAGCCACGCGAGCTGAGGCTGACAAGGAAAGACTGAAGGCAGCTGGCAAAGGCCGCTACACCCAACGACAACTGCACGACAAGAGAGAGAGACAGAGAGAGGGAGGCGACACAAACTACGGCTGCGCGGTTCGAGAGAGAGGGCGATGCTTGTGATTCATGCAGCCACGCGAGCTGAGGCCGGCAGGGAAAGACTGAACGCAGCTGACAAAGGCCGCAACACCCAACTACAACTGCACGACGAGAGAGAAAGAGAGAGAGAGAGGGAGGCGACACCCAACTACGGCTACACGGCGAGAGAGAGAGGGAGACAACGTGGGGAGCGCACCCGGCGAAGTCGCCGAAGTCCCAGAGCTGCAGCAGCGCGGCGTGCGCGAAGGTGTGGTCGGCGGGCAGCCGCGGCGCGTCCGCCGCCCCGTGCGCGCACACGCACAGGTAGTTGACGCAGTCGTCGCCGAGCGCCGGCGCCCAGCGCACGCACCGCACGCACCCGCCCACGAACGCGCTGCACACTGGAACGCACCGAGCCACGCCGTTAGCGCGACGGATCACATCGGGCTCCGTTTAAATTTCGAATTTTAACAGACTTAAAAAAAAAAGGAGGTTTCTCAATTCGACCGTGAACCGATTTTACACGATTCTTTTTTTGTTGGAAAGGAGATATCCCAAGGGTGGTACCGTGATAAGGAAACCCGGATCTAAAGATGGCATCCCAGAGAAATCGAGGGTAATATTCAAATGTTATAGGTATTAACAATGTTTTTATTAGCTTCCTGTTTGAAGTCGGTTTTTTTTTTTCGTTAAAAATTATAATTTATTTGTCGGAAGTTTTTGAATTTCGCGTTCTATTGGCGCGTTTGGAAAAATGATGAGTGAATTTTGACGATGAGCGTCACTTTAAAGCGATGCCAACTTCACGACGATACCATCGCAACCAATAATTATTATTATAATTATTTGACATTCACCTATAATTCAGTATTTAATTAAACCGTTATGATTTCTATTTAATGTCTTTTTCTTTCACAAAGAAAGTAACTGGGGTCGGGCCAAGCAACAGTCTTCGCTGTTGCACGAATGGGCAGGTCCATCCGGCTAAGTACTACGATCTCGTAAGGGACCGGTGTGAAGTGGAAGTGTCATATACTTCTGCGTTTCTTCTGGTGACTGAAGGTAGTTGGAGCCCACTTTATAATAACGTGGCAACGTATATGCCACCCTCCGGGTGTTGCAAGTGTCGGTGGGCGGCGGTCATCAATTAACATCAGGTGAACCGCCAGCTTGTTGATTAACATCTTCTCACATAAAAAAAATATATACATCCATGAAATACATTAAATTACGAATGTCTATATAAAAACGCATACGCTGTAGCCTGAGCTTTGGCTTTTATAAAAGTAAATTACACACGTTTAAAAAGGCTCAATTAAAATATTTATTCACCTGTAATCGTTTTCGCCTCAAACCGATTATAAGTGATCCATTCATCGTTAGCGATTTTCACTTTGCAAGACTGGTCCAGTGGTGGCAGATAATTTGGCAAATCTTCTGGTGGCACCTCTTGATATTGACTTGTTCTCCAGTTGGGAAATAGCACATCCGAAGTGTAATGAGTGTTAAAGCTAAAAATTACTTACTCATTAATAATGGTTAATACTATATATTTTATTCAAAGTCAAAGTCAAAAATTTCTATATTCAATATAGGCTTAATTTAAGCTCTTATTGAACGTTAAAAAAAACTACCATCCGGTTCACTAAACTAGACCTGACCAGAGAAGAACCGGCGACTATTATAGTAATAATACTAAGTTTAATGGTTAAAAATTACCATACATTAATTATAATGTAATCACTTCAAGCCCTGTAGCCTGTTATAGTTGAAAACTGTGACAGTTTAAAACAGACTACAGTATTCCCTTCATAGTTAACAATAATTGCTATTGTTCGAAATGATAAAGACAAAGATCTATAAAACATTATTGTGATTACTTACAAGTCTAAAGCTGCTTGCGCGACGTAGGCCCTAGCACTATTTACTTTGAAGGGAAGCCGTGGGATCTGCAATGCTGCCAAAAGAAATGCTCCTTCGATTATCCGTAATAAGTCATCTTTGTATAGAGGATGTAATTAAATATATAGCCTGTCGTCGTCCAGCACTGGATATAGGCACAAGTAATCATTCTAATAACGGTAATAATAGAAAAAAGTCGTGATAGTTCAGTGTCCGGACACTTGTTTTTAATTCCATTCCAGCACTCCAGCAGACCGAATTCAAATCCCGGTGGGTGTTGCCACTCATGAAATTATTAATTTTAAGTGCTGACTTATCACCTGCTCAGTGGTGAAGGAAAACATCGTGAGGAAACCTGCATATTTGCTAAATAATAACAAAAAAAATTGGATGTGTGAAGGTCCGCCAATCCGCAGTGGGGTTGCGTGCTGAACTACCCTAATAACTTCTGTACAGAGGAGGTCTTTGTCCAACAGTAAGACATGTAGGCTTTTACTCTACTTTAATCATGGTAATGATATAACTGTACCTCTGGTTATAGTTCTATTATTATGACTGTGATAGGGCCAAGCAATAGTCTTCGCTGTTGCACGAATGGGCAGGTCCATCCGTAGAAGTACCACGACCTCATGGAAGACAGACGTGAAAGTTTTATACTTCTGCGCTTTGACTGGTGAGTGAGGTAACCGAGGTCCGCTTTATTAGAAGGTGGCAAGGCATCTACAACAATACGAGTGCTGCAAATATCCATGGGCGGCAGTTATCTGATTGGTGTGGGGAGTAGTGACCCCGCCTCTCGTGGCAAAGGGTGTGGGTTCGATCCCCACTACTGGAAAATATTGTGTGACGAAAATGTGTGTCCGGGTGTTTATATATTAAGTACAATGTATTGTATTTATTTGCAAAATAAAAGTATGTTTAAGTGCTTTTCTCAAATTTCTAGTACCCATAACACAAGCGTTACTTAGTTAGGGACAAGAGAACGGTGTATGGAAAAAAAGTGTGTCCAAAACATTTATTTATTTGTCGCTCCACATCAAGTGAACGGCCATCTCGCTCGCAACCTATTATATGAGAAACACCAACCCGGCTCCGAGTGGCGTTTCCTCCTGCGGTCGGGCCGCTCCTCCTCCTCCTCCTCGTCGGAGTCGAGCTCGCTCTCCGACTCGTCCGACTGCGCGTCGTAAGCGACCGACCCCTCCGAGTCGCTGAGCCGCTCGCTGTACGAGCCGCACGCGTGCTTGTCCAGCTCGCTCTGCGTGTCGCACCCGAAGCCGCACGACGAGCATTTGTGTTTGCACTGCAACACGCCGTTACGAGCAAAGGGCTCGTCCGTTAATCACGCGAGGCTCGAATGTGGGGGGGGGGGGGGTGGGTGATTTGACATATTTCTAAACCGAAAAGCAGTGTGTAGTGCGACCTCGACTCGCCGTTACATTTTTATCGTGGTGCTTAATTTCAGAATAAAATTAGATTATAATGTAAACCCGTGATCGATAATATTCTAATAATTAGATAAGATTCTTTATAGGTACTAAAAATACGCCGCCTCGTACCACGTATCACCAAGGCGGAGGACGAGGTTAAAAAATGCTAAAAGAACATGACGTGATTAATGGACGGCCCCAAACAAACGCACTGCTTACCTAGCTTAATATGTGTATGTACATGTTCTTAACTGTGGTAGGGCCACGCAACACATCCTCGCTGTTGCACGAATAGGCGGGTATAGAGGATAAGCACCACTACCGCACAAAAGGCCGGCGTCGAGTGGAAGTGTTATATTTCTTCGTTTTGTTTTGTGAGTTAGGTAGACGGGGCATACTTTGTTATAAAGTGGTAACGCATCTTCAACCCTACGGGTGTTGCTAATGTCAATGGGCGGCGGTTATCACTTAATATCTCGTGAACCACCAGCTCGCTTGTCGCCTTCTCACATATTTTTACATATATCGCAGTATACATTTGTATGGCGTTGTCAGAATTTAGTATAGTGGCGTGGAAAGTAAAATAATAAAATTCAACTAAGACAAAAAGTTTCGTAAAATGATAGTAATATTAAAAAAATTGCTTGGGAACGATTTAAAGGAACAACCGGGTGTGTTATGTATATTAATAATATTGTTACTTTTAAGTTTGAACGCAATAAGCCTAATCTCTATAAATCACATCTGACGCATAAAAAGATAATTCTTTCAGACTACTCACTTGGTTCATCTTGTTTTTATAGTTTTCTATGACAGTTTTGGCTCTGAAAAAACATGTTGATTACATTAATAACATTACCTTAATAGTAGTAACTATTAACCTATTATAGTATTTGTATCGTAACCCAATAAAATTTAATAATATTTTCATTTTTTTAATAGTGCTAATCTCTGCATTTAAGATTTAAATTTTTCTACAAATTTTAAAATTTAATAATTTAGAAAATATTCATTCAAATATTTCAAAAATTGTTATAATAAACTTTGTCTATTCTCAACTATAAACATGGATAACGAAGTAATAATCGGATGCCTGGAATTCAATTGCATAATTGCGAAAAAAGTTATTCAAAGAACATATAAATTTACTTTTCTGCAGCCTTCCTCCGACCCTGCGTATTCTCCTCTTCATGTTTACTTAAAATCACTTCAGCCACCTTCAATTTTCTTTCTTTCACATATTCTTGCTCCCTATGCATGGCCAAATGTTGATTCTTGTAAATACATAGATATTTACAATTGCAAATGGTGCAAAAGGACTTAAAATATTCCGTCTCCTGGAACAATTGTAAAATGGCGAAAATATGACGTGGAAAATAATTATAGACAGCTCATTTCGAATGTCAACTGTACGTACCTCATCTGACTTGCCGCACGTAATTATATGAGCATAGAATCCGGCGCAAGAGACGCGGCTCATCTTGCAATTTTTGCAAATTAAACTTTTCGTGGCCTGTTTGTATTCCTTGAGATACTTCTCCACTGCGTACGGATTTTTTAAGTCCTTCAAATATTAATTATAAGTTTATAACACAAATTAAAGCTATCACTACATAGTATAAAATAAAGTCGTCCCGCTTTCTGTCTGTCCATATGTATGCTTAGATCTTTAAAACTACGCAACAGATCTTGATGCGGTTTTACTAGATAGAGTGATCGAAGAGGAAGGTTTCTATGTATAATACATTGCACCCGTGCGAAGCCGGGGCGGGTCGCTAGTAATTACTATATAACATATATATTATAAATTTATAAGCTAAGAGAATTGTACTCACTATCGGTTCCATACCAATAGCCCATGCAATATTGTAATGATTTTTCATGGCATGCGACCGCCACTCTTTTTGAGGAACCTTCTCCGAGCAAACAGCACACTGCAATAAGTTTTCTGGAATAGAACACATAAATCAGGTCTATTTTGGTGTATTATACTATAAACAGTTAGACAAAAAAATAATGTGGGACACTAAAATAACGTATATAAATTAAATAACTTATAACAATATTAAAGAATGTTGTTAAAAATAGATGTAAGATTTACTTCTCGACTCTGACTTAACCTAAGTTTTTTATTCTAAACTTTCACAAATTTATATAAAATATAGCTTTGACCATTTAGAGTTAGTGAAGTTTCCAAAAAATATTGAATACTTTATAATATAAATAATTTTTAGAATCACAACAGACATTTTTGTGCACTAAGCACTGGGGCAACATAGCGGACCAAACCATAATATCTCCCGAGGAGGCAACTACCCACTGATGAGTGGCGCTTAACATAGGCTGTTATATCACTTAAAATAATTTAACCTCATTATTAATATAATTGGAGTATATAAGTTAAAGTCTAAAGACATAATTACCGTCATCGAGGGTGCCAACATTGATGGGAATGCACTTTTCTATGTGCTGCAAAAATAACTTCACGTATTTACGTCTAACACCACAGGTTTTGCACACTAAGCCATTATGAGTCTTCAATATGGTGTATAGAAACATCTGCACCTCGTCCATTTTAGTTTCCAAGTCCTGAAATTTTCAAATATTTTATTAGCCATGTAAGGAAAGATCGGAAATTATGACAGAGTACAGAATGAGTACAAAAGTGGGATAGTTATTCTAGCGGATTTTGGCTCTCATTTAGATGATATTCGAATTCAAGTCAATGATGGCTTAATGTGAAAAGTTGGATTGGGCAGATCAAGCGCTCCAATTGGTTAAACGATAACCAACATACATGGACTTCTTTAACGTAACACATGATTTGTTTTGCAAAATTTCAAATAAATATGCCCCGATTACCTCACTCGCCAAAACGCGAAAGTATAATCTCTCTACCTCACAAAGTTAGAGCCGCTCCCCCGTGGTACTTCGCCGTACGAGCTTTCCCCATTCAAAACCTTTTTGTACACCAAAACATCTAGATGTTTTGGTGTACAAAAAGGTACTTTATCGTTCAACGGATCTCTTTTTTGCAAGGGATACGGTCGTAGAATGTGTACGACGGCTTGCTTAAACATATGGCATTAAATAAATACGCCTAGCACTATAGTTTCAAATGACGCTTCGTTTTTAATTTGAATTAAAGGTCAAATCTGAAAAAAGGATACTTACGAGGGGCTCCCTCCCTTTAATCCGTGCTAAATAATTGTGTTCCTTATGTATGTGATCGAACCACTCTCCGCCGTCGACTTGTTTATTGCACACCCCACATTCCACGATGCCAATGTGAACGAATTCGCTCTCATACAAACCCGCAACCTCCGCAGCATCATTAACGTTCTCAATCGTCAACGAGTCGCCCAATTTTTCATATAGCTCTGGATGAATACTCGGGATCTGTTAAGAAAAACATTATTTTTTTATTGTGAAGGCTATTTGATGCTTTAGTAAAATTTAAGAAAAATCTGTCATGTCCATAAACGTTAAGTATTTACCTAATACGGTCTATACCTAATACGCAATCATTATAACATGAAAAGTGTTTTGCATGCATTACATATATACATCCCAAATCTCATTCAATGGGTACCAAAACTTGTTGTTAAGTTGTGTAAGAAATTCTTTACATAACTTTACAAGTTTTGGTAGTTTTATGCAAGGCAATCCCGAGGTTACAAAGGCACATTAAAACAAAGTCAACGTGAATAAAAAAGTTACTTACCGCTTTGTTAAGGTCGCAATTTTGTAGATGACGTAAAAAAGATTTGACGTAAGAGCGCCCTAAACCGCATCCATCACAAATCAACGCGCCGACTTGTTTTGCAATGGCATACAAATGCCTATAAACTTCTTTAAAGTCTTTTAAGTTCTGAAATAGATCCCGTACCAATTATAACAATGAATTATAAATAATTGCACACATTTTTTAACGACGATGACTCAAACTAAGCTAGTAACTGCTAACTTGAACGTCGATACACACTCAGAACTGAAAATTTAAAATCTGTGGGTATAAAAATACTTGTCCCGAGTGAATCGAATCCACTCCGGGTACCGGAGCCAACAGCTTTTAGAAATTGAGCAAACGGAGTGAATTTATTTTTCTATTCTTTATGCACAATAAAACTCAAAAGGCTAAAAGTCTTTGGACTGAAATCCAAAAATATCAATTAAAATAAAATACTCACTAATGGCGGTTTCCCTTCAATGCGCGCCAAATAATTATGTTTTTTTTGTATGTGTTGTATCCACTGTTCGCCTTCCACTTCGTTTCGACATACTCCACACTTCACGGTGCCCGTGTAGACGGTTGGAGTCTCATCTTCCAGTCCATCGTATGCGTCAGATTGGAGTAATTCTTCGGATACCTGTTTTGTAAATTTTACCGATCAGCCTAAACATCCATCAGTTAATGTCACAGTTAACACGGATCGGATTTTTATTCACGTTTAAGTTAAGATTCTTGTCATTCGAGGATCATCATCCTCCTACTCTTATCCCACCTAGGTGGGGTCGGCACAATATGTGAATAGTGTTGTAAGCGGTTATGGCTACGATTTTTACGACCGGCCGCCTTCCCGAGGTCAACCCTCCTTAGGGAACAAACACCCAAATCTGGATCAATTATGTGGGTCACACAAATACTTGTCCCGTTTGGTAATCGAAGCCACGGCCCTCGACGAGGCTAAAAGCTCACCAACGGAGAGCAAACCTTGAGAGATTCGAAAATGAACTTACCGTATTCCCATCGCAACTTTTTATATGCTGCAAATAAGGCTTGACATATTTTCGGCTTATACCACATTTGGAACATACCAAGCCACCGATTTGCTTTGTTATTTTATATAAATGCTGTCGCACTATTTCTTCGTCATTCACGTCCTGCAAAAACGAGTAATAGTAATATAAATACTTTCGTAACTTTGATTCTCAGGTATAAATGTCATTCTATTTCTTCTATTACGTACGTGCTAAATAATAAAACGAAATGTCCTTATCACTCATACTACTCAAAAGACTGTCAGAGGTATACTTCCTATCATAATGGTAGACTAACCATTATGATAGGAAGTATACCTCTACCTAAATGTGTCTGTGTGTGTGTGTTAACAAAAGTCATAAATCACAAAACTATTCTGTTACCAAAACTCAATACCCACATTACAAACGACTGTTAGAATAACGCTAGTAATATCGATATTCATTTAGTTAACTCACTAATGGCGGTTTTCCTTCGACCCAGGCCAAGTAGTCATGTGCCTTTTGTGCGTGTTTCAGCCAATCCGCTCCGTCCACCTGCTTTTCACAGACTGCACACTTCACGATACCGGTATAATTAAAAGTACTGCATTCTGAAATACATTCGCCACCTCTGTCTGAGTTGCACGTATCGTTGAATGCCCCCTCCGATTCTGATGCCTGCAAATTAGACACGTGAAATCAGAATTAAATTGAATCTCAATCGGACATAGACGGATGGAAGTAAGTGAATAGAGAAACTCTCAAGTCTCGTGACCGACAATAAAATGTAGATTTAAAAAGAATATGACAAATGTAAGGATTTTAGAGGAAAATCGTCTTCCATGATGGATTCGTCGATCATAAGGATATTAGAGGAAAATGTCTTACCAATACCAAAATGTCTGAGTGAAATCGGGTAATTGATGTAAAATGGCATTGTAAAAGTTAAAACAATTGATAATAAAGCAAATTTGAATATAAAGGGTTTTAGAAAGTCCTATTTATCAAAGGTGGTTATTATTATCTCCGCCACCGACGAACAATATCGGAAGGAAATAACTGGTGTTTAAAAAAAAATCTCATCGTAATTATTATAGATAGGATTAAATATCCACTTACCACGCCTCCATCACAAGTCTTTACATGCCTTATGTACGATTTAACAAATCTATACGCAAGCCCACAATTTGTGCACACCAATGCGTCGACGTATTTTTTCAAGCTAGCTAGATGCATTCGGACTTCCCTTTCGTCCTTTACGTTCTGGAAATATAAATACCTTAAAAAACAGGTCGTGGTAGCTAGCAGTAGCTAACAGTCTTTAATAGTCATTTCAGTGCTTTTAATATCGCTAAAATCTAATGGCCCGAGTACAAATCACGGTATCGGCGCCCATGAAAGTTGTGTGATATTTACTACGTGGTTTTTGATAAGGGCATTTATAACTTTTATGTTAACAAAAAACCAAACCCAATTCTTTTTAATAGATCATCACACATTTCCTATTCGATTTAAAAAAGTGCCCAGTTATATCTCCGAAATCAAGGTCCAATGCTAATGAAATTAAAAAAGGAGCCCCTTGAAGACGTCTCCTTTACAATAAGAACTAATTTTCCGCTATTGGTATATAAATGAAGAAGTTCTGAAGTAACAAACATACAACCGACTTGAGAAACTTCCCCTCATTAAAGTCGTTTGGAACTAAAAAGTATAGGTATCGGCTTGTCCGGTTAAGTACCACGATCTCACAAAAAACCGGCGTAAAGTGGAAGTATTACAAATACTTTCGCGTTTCGTCTGGTGAGTGAGGAAGCCGGAGCCCAATTTTCAAAAGGTTGTCAACGAATCTGTAACCCTCGGGTGTAACAGATGTCTATGGGCGGAGGTATTCACTTAACATCTGGTGAACCGCCTGCTTGCTTGGCAACTTTTCATATAAAAAAAATATATCCAATAATAATTATTATGCAAGCATGTCCACCAATCCCAATCGGACTTTCGGGTTTAGACATAAAATATACCATAAAAACGAGTTTATATAACTCTTTATAAACTCTTTATTATGACATATTATGTCTTTTAATTATAAGAGTAAACAGAAATCCATGAACCCCCCGACCGAAGCATTATGTTGTTTCATAACCGTCCTATACAGCCTAGTAAACCATCAATCAAAACGTGTCTATAGTGCACACACTTATGTACGCACGTAACAAGATATAAATCTTTAGCATAACAAAAGAAAAATGACTAAAATTTTAGCCCCTGTAAAAAAGACATTAAATTGATAGCGGTTTAACTAAATAAATTAGAATTATAGTAAATTTCAAAAAAGTTATTGGTTGCCATAGTTATACCACGAAGTGGAGTCGCTTATCGTAAAAATTCCCACTCATAATATTTCCCAAACGCGCCAAAAGATGCATAAATTTAAAAATACAAAATTATCTCTAGAGTATTCTTACTACTGGTGGCCTATCAGCTACCCGCGCTATGTAATTGTGTTGTTTGTGTATGTGATCTATCCATTCCTCCCCGGCCACCTCCTCTCCACAAACGCCGCATTTCACGACTCCCTCGTAAATAAACTCGCTTTCTTCTTCGATAATAGAAGTGTTCTCGCATGCGATCGATTCATTAGTTTGGTCCTGGAAATGGAAAATTATTATAATGATATAGCCTCAACCATAAATTTAATCAGTGTTCAAAAAAAGAAAAGGAAAAGAAATAAATAAATGAATAAACGTTATTTACGTAACATTTATGATTTGAGTATTAATATATTACTAGATAATGGCAAATTGTTTTCGAAAATATGCTAATATTTCCAGATAATGAAGAGAGTTTAACAAAGACTACGGTACATCCACTCTAAAATACTTACGGTCAATCCATCGCAATCCTTCACGTGTTGTAAATACGCCTTTACGTATTTACGGTTTCGTCCACATTTAGAGCAAACTAATCCCCCCAATTTGCTTCGATATGATGTTTAAATGTTGCCATATCTGTTCTTCGTCACACAGGTCCTGTAATCATGGATTTCATAACAATAAAAACTAATTGTAGGAACATTTGGTGCAAATTATTTTGCAAGGAAAAAGTTTTTAGAGATTGTCTATAACTGGAGAATTCTATTCTTTCACAAGCATATGCTGATTATTATTTTTTTATGAAAAAGGAGGCAAACGAGCAGGCAGGCCACCTGGTGGTAAGTGTTCACCGCCGCACCCTGGACACCCTGGACACAGACCAGGGGTGTCACAAATGCGTTGGGCGTTTGAGGAAGGAATAGGGAAGGAATACTCTCAATAAAAGAGATTGAGGGTCCGTAAGTCGTATCGGTCAGGAAATACCGGTGGCGACAACCGATTCTACAACTTGGTGGTGCGTGGCAGAAATGGTGAAAAACGCACAGTCGTGGACTACCAACCATCGAGGTGGTAGCGATGGTATTTGGCAGTTTCACGCGTTTTTTCATATGGACGCGGGAAAAAAAATTAACGTAATTACGTAAGAAGTAATATATAACAAGTTTTAAGTAATTAAAGCAGTTATTTAGTGTAAAAATGTCTCGATGTCCTAAAAATTCGTTTTTAAAATTTAATTACAGGATTTCTAACTTCACACCATCACAATATGTCAGTCAGAGTCGCAACTACTAAGTACTATTAATCCTCCGTTCATTACCTGCCATTTTTCGTTATCATAAAAGTAAAAAAAAGTAACAGCCTATAAATGTCCCACTGGTGGGCAAAGGCCTTCTCTGTACTAAGGGTATCAAGGCATAGTCCACCACGCGGCCCCACTGCGGATTGGTGGACTTCACACATCTTCGAAATATATATTTTTTTGTTATTATCTCGAAAACTTGCAGGTTTCCTCAAGATGTTTTCCTTTATCGCTGTGCACACGTTATTAACAATTTCATTGGTTCCGACATCGAACTCAGCTTGCTCGAGTATATGGAATTAGCCGAGGATTTAAAAAGCGCGCGTCCGGACAATTACCTATCACGGGTCATTCTTTATCTTTTTTATACCATTAAAAAAACATACATACAAACGAAATGTAACGCGAAAATTGTATCAGCTAACGTTGACTACGTGCTGTAAATTAAGAGGAATAGAGCACTCACTAAAGGCTTCTTCCCTTCTACCCATGCGACGTACTTATGCGCCTTTTGTATGTGGTCCACCCAATCTCCACCGTCCATCTCCTGGCCGCAAACGCCACACTTAACGGTGCCCACATAGTTCACGACGGATTCCTCTAAATTCGTCTCATCTAAAGAGTCGTGACAGTTCAGTGAAACGTTCGACTCCTCCTGAAAATGATAGTAATACAGAATTCGCAATTGAAAATGTAATGACGCATAAAATCAGTAGAAACTGACTGTCGGTGATTTCTAAATTATCTAATTTTTTATTTCAAATAAGGAGCTAATCAGAATATTTTTATCTTATTTAATAACACTTTAATCAAGAATAATAGATAAAAGAAATGTTTATTTAAGAAGTTATAAAGTAATACATAAGCTAGCTAGTGATCGATAAAAATATAAAATTCACATGATGGTGTCTCGGTTTGAATGGTTTTTAAAGCAACTTTACTGTGAATATAAATATATATTAACTGTGAATATATATTAAAAACCTACCAACAACACCAATCAAGTGCATAAAGGTACTTACCGTGCTACCATCGCAACTTTTGACATGTTGCAAATAGGCTTTAACGTATTTACGACTCAGCCCGCATTCGGCGCACACCAGTCCGCCGATTTGTTTTGAAAGATTGTTAAGATGATTCCACACTTGCTCTTCATCTAACACGTCCTACAACGACGAATTTTAACTGTTAATTGCATAATTTACAGACGGATTGATAGTAGATTAATATAATAAGTCTAAAGACAGTATAAATAAATCCATTGAAAACTCTTGAATTTATCTCATTCACTATACGGAAAGTTAACATCAATAATGAGTCTGTTCATCACGGTTGGTTGTTTCGCTCTAATTATTGGATCGGCTATGAAACAGAGCAGCGGCAAAGAAACATGAGGAAAAATGAAGTGTTGTATAAAACGTGTGGTGCCTCAAGTAATTTGTTATTTTTTTATGAAAGATATTGCTAAAAGTAGTCATTATGGAAATATCTTAAAAAGCACCACACGTTTTTTTTAAATTAAAAAAAATTAAGTTAATCAAACTATCTTTATATATATATATATAATTCTACTATACGTGTGTATGTCACTGAACTCTTCCTAAACGGCTGCAATTTGGGGTATGCAGCAGCCTCGGCTGATGCACGAATGGGCAGGCCCGGCCGGGTAAGTACCACGACCTCACAGAAGACCAGCGTAAAGTGTAAGTATGACAAATACTTTCGCGTTTCGTCTGGTGAGTGAAATGGCAGGAGCCCAATTTTCAAAAGGTTGTAAACGCATCTGTAACCCTCGGATGTGGCAGATGTCCATGGGCGGCGGTATTCACTTACCATCAGGTGAACCGTCTGCTCGTTTGGCAACTTTTAACATAAATATTCAGTCAATGAATATTTTCACATCATCTATAATTTATTTTAAAAAATATAACATAAATACTAACCAAAGGAACACTTCCATGTATCCATGCTATATATTTATGCTCTTTATGTATATGGCTTATCCACTTACTCCCCTCCATCTCTAAATCACAAACACCGCATTTCACAGTGGCCGGGAGATTCGATACGTCCAAATTTGTGGTGTTTAAATTGTTTTCTGCTCGTCCATGTCCATCCAAATCACTGTCATTTGTTGAATTCTGGAGTTTTCAATATACATAATATGGGTAGGTATATAAAATATAATAATGTTTTGTTAATTTATTTCTAATTGTTTGTAATAAACTAATATAAATTACTCACCGTCGTCTCGGAATTTTCACGACAGCTTTGAACGTGTTGCAAAAAACTTTTTATAAATTTACGTTTTAGTCCACACTTAGCGCAAGCCAAGTAACCTAAAACCGATCTTATTTGACGCAAATGTTTTTCAATTGCCTCATCGTTGTTTGGGTCCTGAAATATGTTTTCTGCTATAAAGTGGGGAAAAGTGGTTATATATTTACCACTAAACACTTTCACTAAATCAACATTCACTAAATCTATCTTTTCAGAACTATTAAATTATTTTACATCAATATATAACACACACACTTGTTTCGTAATTTTATTACATTAAATGTAATTGTTAATTAGAAATTATGAATGTGAAATTAATAAAATAATAACGCAATGTACAGGCGATATTCGAAAACAATATGTTTTTATTTTGCATATAATATAAATAACATCCTTAGTATATAAATCCATCCCTCATCCTTCGTCGGTGGCCCTCAAACTAAGTATTCATCCAGTAATATTTATGCATTCAAAATAATATTCAATTTTTTACTCACTAGGGATGGTAGTCCTTCAACTCTTGCTAAATAATTGTGCTCTTTATGTATATGATCCAACCACTGGTCCCCATCTACATCCTTTAGACATACCCCACATTTCACAACACCAGTATATATTAACTCGCCATCGTCGGCACCACCGCTGGTATCCAACGTTTCGTTTATATTTTCGGAAGTACATGTTTCATTAACTTGATCGCTGACATTAGAACCTTCGGCCTGTAACGATAGTTTAATATCACTGATTTAAGGATTTTTTCTCTTTTAATTATTATATTATTGAATATGAAGAGGAAACTTGAGGGAACTATGATTTACATACCAAAGCACCGGGACAGCTTTGGACGTGCTGCAGATAGGTTTTTAAATATTTACGCTTTAGTCCACACTTAGCGCATGCTAAATGACCGATTTTCGACCGTATCCGAAGTAAATGTCTTTCGACTTCCTCCTCATTATTTAGATCCTGCAATCATTTTATGTTGATAATTAGATTTTTAATATGGAGATATAGATAAAAAGTTTCTTGTAGTTTATCAATTGCGCTTTTCACAGATAAAATACTTCTACTATGTAGATGTAATATTGTTTATTAGATATAATTTTCTAAATTTTTTCAAGATTTTATTGTTTCGAAATTCGTCGTTATTAAAATATTAAAAGAATAACTAAACATGATTTTCAATGTCCAGCCAAAACGGGATTTTCAGCCGAAACCGAAACATATTTCAACGTGTTAAAATAGAATTATATACAGAAAACTTTAGGATTTTTCAACCATATTCACACGGTAATCTCGTGGAAAAAAAATAAACAAAAAAATGTGAGGTAGTTGTTACTGTGGTATTGTATGTATACTATAGTTTCAGCGCCAGGGGTCGTGGGTTGGATTCCCAATCGCTATAACAAGGGTTCTTTTTAGGGTTCCGTCCCCAAAGGGTAAAACAGGACCCTAATACCTAGACTCCGCTGTCTGTCTGTCCGTCTATCACCAGGATGTATCTCAAGAAACGTTAACGTTGAAATTTTCACAGATAATATATTGCTGTTGCCGCTATAACAACAAACACTAAAAAAAGAATTAAAAAATATTTAAGTGAGGCTCCCATACAAGAGACATTATTGTTGGCCATTGTCGTTTTTACAGATAATGGTACAGAACCCTTCGTACGCTAGTCCGACTCGCGCTTGGCCAGTTTTTGATTTTTGTGATATGCCCTGAACATTTGTAACACCCGTTGGATACAGATGCGTTGTCAACCTTCATTAAAGCGGGCCCCGGTTCTCTTGCTCACCAGGCGATAGGCGAAAGTATAACTCTTCCACTTCACGCCGGTCTTCTGTGAGGCAGTGGCACTTCCCCGGGTGGACATGCCCATTCGTGCAAGAGTGAAGACTGTTGTGTGACCTCACCACAGTTATTTGTGTGGCTCAAGGATAATTTTCCGAGCCTGAATGTTAAACCATGCAAAATTTCCTGGTAATGCAAGATAATGGTGCATATAGGCAATGTTTTTTATAAGAAAATATTCTAGAAACCTGAGAACAAAAGCTGGACGTAGAGGGCGCATGATAAATAAATTAACATACATATATCTCTTTTAAATGCGAATGAGTGTGCATAGATATTTTACTCACTAAAGGTGTTTTGCCTTCAACTCTTGCTAAATAGTTGTGTTCTTTATGTATATGATCCAACCACTGGTCCCCATCTACATCCTTTAGACATACCCCACATTTCACAACACCTGTATAGATGAAGTTATTATCGTCAGCACTGGCATCCGAAATTCCATTTACATTTTCTAACGTTTCATTCGCATGATCGCTGACATTGGAACCAACATCCTAAAATAATAATATTTTTGCAGTAAGGAATTATCAAAGCCAGATTTAATTTAATAAATATGTTTATCGTTCAAAGTATTTTAAAATCCGTTGAATTTCAAAATGTCCGCGTAGTTAGCGGCCGTCCAGTAATCACGTGAGGCTCGAAAGGGAGGGGGTGGGATATGGCAAAAATCACGAAATATCACAACGAGGGAGGGGGGTGTAGTGTGCGTAATTTCTAAACCAGATAGGACGAAGACTTCGCGCGCCACTCGCCGCGACGACCACCCGGCTTGGCTTGCCAGTCGCCGCTTATTTATTAATTTGGCTAAAAGATAATATTTTAAAAATTTTTAAATTATTTTTAAGTACTAAAAATGCACGAGATTTTGGATGGGGGGAGGTGTTACCAAGACGGAGGACGGGAGATAAAAATGTGAAAAAAATCACGTGATTAATGGACGGCCCCTAGTAACAACTATGTCAATTTATTATTGCTTTCATACTCTAAACTTATTTGTGGACATTTGTTTTTATTTTCAATATTTCATATTACTTGTATACAACGTGTCGCTACTAACGCGACCATAAATCAACACACATAGAGAGGATAATTTTTTAAAATGGTATTAAACATTTACGATCTTTAAATATCAATATTAACAGAGTTATCTCATATCATATTATCCTTACCTACGTATAAAACTGTAACGTAAAGTTCATTTGTAAAGCATATGAATTAGTTGAATGAATTTAAAAGAGATATAACATACTGCTAGAAGGAGAGACTTGTAATGCGACGTTGTGGCAACGAATGAAAAAGTCTCTGAATGTATGAATCAGTCAGTTGTAGTTATATAGGATTTTTAAAATTTTGTTTCTTTTTTATTTAATTACTTTGTTTGAGAATTTTTTTTTAAGTATGGACTTTTTTAATGTTTATATTTTTCTATGATTATGTCGCGGTTGTAACGCCATGCTGTATAATCCTGGTCTGTCTGTATTAAAATTACAACCAATCTGGGACAGTCTAACGTAGAACTGCCACATATTATGTAAATGGCCTCTTTCAAGGTACACCCGATTTTCGAATTCGTGTATGACAATCTGTTTAGATCGTCGCTAAAACTCGAGTATGTAAGTCATACCATATATACATAATACATATAATTATGTGTAATTAACAATTCAGTTACTAACTGCAGTTCCTTCGCAGCTTTCAACATGCTGCATAAACGCCTTGGCATATTTACGAACCAATCCGCATCTAGCGCACACCAAGCCTCCAATTTGTTTTGTTATGTTATGCAAATGTTGTCTTATATTATCTCTATCGGTCAAGTCCTGTAATTGTTAAAATCAATTTACAATTTAAATCTTCTGAACTCCCTATTATGACAAAAATAAAATGTTAAATCTTTTGAATGTTTACTCTTAATGACGAATTAAAAATTGTATTATCAATTCGTTGCGGCATGAGATTAAATTTCTATAAATTTCATTTAGTTTTATTTTCACGATATCACGTTTAATAGTTCTGATGTTAAGTAATGCACTGTGGGTAAGTACACGTTCGAAATCGAAAAGTGGGGCGAGCCACTATAAATAAATAAATAGAATTTATTACCAATGGCCGATCGTTAGATTTCCATGCTTGATAATTGTGCTCCTTGGCTATATGGTCCATCCATAAAGACGTAAGAACTTCTCCGTTGCAAACTCCACATCTTACTATTTCATCATGGTGTAGAAACTCTAAATTAGATTGGACAGCTTCACTATTACTTGTCTGATTGTTAATGCTAATATCACTGTCACAATTATAGACGATCTGAAACGTAAACAAACGGATGTCAAGAGATTTATTCCATTTCCTAATATTATCAAACAATTTGGCAAATATTACAATACCTTAATACACTCATGTGCATGATTTATAAACTTTTTAACGGACTTAATTTCCAAATTACAAAACGTACATTTCAATCTTCCACTTTCCTTCAATTTCTTCAAAAGTTTTTTTGCAAGATTGTCATCCGTAAAATCCTAAAAAAAGTTTTAAAGTGAAAAACACGGTAAAAAACTCCCTCTTTACGCAATGGACAATTTAGAATAAAAACTGAAACTCAACAATGAAAAGGTCAAATGTTGGGGTTTCATGTATAATATAAGTAAAGTAAGAATCATGTCCAGCTCTGTACAGAGTGTATTAGAGCATAGTCTACCACGCGGCACGTGATAAGTCAGCGCTTAAAATTAACAATTTCATTGGTGCTAACTACGGAATTTGGCGGCTCGAGTATATTGAATTAAAGGTGAGCGTCCGGACACTGAGCTATCAATCGTTTTATTTAATACCAGCTGACCTGGCAAACGTTTTTTGCCATATAAATTATTTCTAGGGAACGCATGAAAAAAGAATTTTCGGAACGAACCCATAAAATGTTTGACAGGTAGGTTCAGTTTGTATGGGATAATAAAATTTATGCTTTTTCGATTTTTCATGCAATTTTTCACATAACTTCTCATCGTTTAAACCTTCCCTGGACTGTCACAAATTTTTCAAAACCAAAATTAGCCAAATCGGTCCAGCCGTTCATTTCGATTTTTCAATCGAACAGCAATTCATTTTTAATATATATAGATAAATAAAACACAGATTTAAACTAAACAGCTATTTGTGTGCCACACAGATAATTATGTCGAATCTTGGCGTTTTTACAAGTGAAATTTATGTATATAAACATCATTACGATATATATAGGGGGGCGAGGGAATATTTCCGAAGGGAAGAATGCAATCGATCTTCTAGGTCGCAGTGCTCGTTGGGGCTAACCTAACCTAACCTAACCTAACCCAAACCTCTCTAGCATAAATTATTTTATAGATTTCCCATTTACATACAAACAAACGATTCTTCATCGACCATAAGAGTAAAATATAAATTCTTATATTTAGACTTACCAAATATTTACTAATTACGGTATTGATATTTTACTTACTATCTTGTGACCCTCTTTCCAAGCTATATAACAATGCTCCTCAGAGGCATGGTTCTCCCAGTCCACTTCAGATAATTCTTTGGTACAAATCCCACATTTCAAAGAATAACTACTTTTTTTAGAGTTTGAAACAGCAACGTTGTTTTCTTCGTTATTTAATTTCTCTTGCGAAGACCTTCTTCGTTTCTATAATTTTTTTTATTTATAGATTACTTTAAGCATTCATTAAAACATGATTGGTTTAAGAATTGTAGAAGAATTTGATAGAAATGGAATCGCCTATGAACAGTTGAGGAATTTTAAAAAGTTAATAATAATTAGGTAGGTATTCACTATTAAAAAGATTTAAACGAACAGATTGAAAATTTGGAGATAGATACCTTGCTTTTTGCTCCATTTATTTGTTCGAATGGTGAATCAGGTAAAATGTTGTCAACTTTCGTAATAAGCTCGTTTGATTCTGTTTTCTCAAATGTCTGAAAGAACAAATATACCTATATAGCAATGGGTTATTTTGCACTGCTGTGTTTTACGAAACTTAAAATAAATTTAGAACAATGATATTCATCCTTTTTACGTACTCGTGATGAAGGATTGTTGGTTGACTAATGAACTTATATGAGTAAAGACAGTCCATTATTAAATAAATAAATAAAGCAATCCAAATTGACGGCATTCAATTTGGAAAGTCTTAATAGACCTACTGTCTGCTTTTAAGGAAGATTTCTGAATATTTTATTATCTTAACCTTGATAATGAATTTGGAAAGTTCAAGTAACAATAATGTAAAGCCTGTTTCTTAAATCCCTTTTCTTAAGGCCATAGTTTAAAGATGTCCACCACCATTTAGAAAACAATTCTCATCAGCATTTTTTAAGATTTCCGACGGCAAAAATGGTCATGGTTTACTTACTTTTTTAGATGGCGTTTTGATATCAACAATATCACCCTGAACTACAGGCTTCGAAAGAGAAGTACTTTTTTCAGTGTATGGTTTTATTTTTATATTCTTGCCTGTTACAATATTATTTGATATGCAAATAATGTCTTTATTAAGTGCATTAGCGAAGTTTAAATCCGGAATGAGATTTCGGGATATGTCTATCAAGTTATTTACATTAGTTTCAAACTCTACATCACAATTTGAATATTCTGTATAGCACATGTTACGATATTTTTCTAATTCTTGAGAACTGCTACTAATATAACTATTTTCTTTTTGGTCAATTATTCCTTGATCAAGAGTGTAAGTGTGGGAGCAGTTGTCGTTATAAATTTCGAATAATGTAGCATAAGAAGGTCCTACACTATTGCTGTCTTTCAAAAAATGAATATGCTGATATTCACTCTCAATATCATAAAGTTTTAACCTTCCAAAATCCTTACAAACACAAAATTGTTCAACAAGACAATGGAGGTATGGATAACTTACATTATCATTTATTTGGTTACTTGCATCTGTTACATTATATTGAGTAATGTTATATACCAATTCAGCATGCCTGTTTTTGGTCCTTTTGTTCTGATACGTTTTTACTATTTTTGACATCGGTTTTGTGTCATCTTTTCTTATTGTTCCACCTGGTTTTTCAACACCTTGTCTACTTAATTTCGCTTTCGTTAAAAAACGTCTAGATAAAGTACTTGCTTGGTCAGATCGGAGGCACTGATTGAGATAACTTGCTATTTCCTTCACTTTGTCCTCAAGGACATCAGTACACTGGACATTATCAGCAGCTTTTAAATCAACTTCGGCCATATTAGCAACTTTTGTTTTCGTATTACATTTCTTCTCAATTTCTGGTAATTTATTATTATTATCGACATTATTTCGGTAAGAATCATGTACCATAATTTTCGCACAATCAACTTCATTCAAATTTTTACTGCTTATGTTATTGACAGTTTTTTCTACTTCAGCATTTTGGAATATTGAACTATTGATTAATTGATTCGAATTTGTTATTATCTCACTCTTGGCCATGTTGGTGTTGGAATGTTTTATAACCATGTTATTTACGTTATATGTTGTAACATTATCCTCAAGTTTTCGCTTTCCTTTATAAGGATTTTGAGTTTCAATGAACTCACTATCGTTTTTGATTGGTATTTCTGATGTGATAATTCCGTTTTCGACCTTATTTAGGACTATATTATCATTGCCTTTAACAAAAATATTATTTTCCGAGCATGTTCCACTGTCAGTCATATCTTGACTGATTTTCGTTTTTTTATTATTATTACATTCTTGCTGGTTTATGTAATTTACGTCCTCATCTTTAATATCATAACTTGGGTTTTCATTTGGAGTCTTTGGTATGGGAGTGCTAATATTAAACGGAATTAAGGCAGTTTTAGATGTAGAAGATATTTTAAAGTTTTTGAAAACTTCTACACCAATAATCTTGTGAGATATAATGTTAACTTTAGTTTTAGATTCAACATTTGACTTAGTATTGCTGTAATTTGATATTGTGTGACTTGCATGAACATCATTTGTGGGCTCAGTAAGAATTTTATTGTTAGTAATCAAAGTGTTTTTATTATCTTTACATACAGTATTTTTAATATGATTATAATCCTTTGCATCCTCACTTTGATTTAAAATCAAATCCATATAATTAAGTTCAGGCTCCAGTTTTTTGTTGAATACAATGTTGTTTGATTTCTCAAGAATATTACTAGTAGAAATAACTTTTTTATTAATGCTCTCTATATGCACAACTTCGTTCTGCGTAATTGCATTACCATTTAAAAATGATGGACTCAACAATATTGAATTTTTCATCAAATTAGCAGTTTGTAAAACAGAGGCTTCCTTTTGTGAATTTGATTCATAATATTTTAGCGAAGTGGGAGTATTTGCTTCATTATACAATTCACTGGAACCAACTATTTCATCTTGTGTATCTGCAATTAAAATGTTATTTTTTAACTGATAAATGCCAATGTGGTGTCAAATGCCTATGTTTATGAAATTAACCAAAGTAGCAGTTAAGTTAAAATTAAAATAAAAAATAATTTAATTCTTAAACATTATATAAACTATTAAACATTTTTTAAATATGTATTTTTTCTTAATTATTAAATGTTTTAAAGTTCATAGAACTATAACATTACAGCATTTGAAAAATCCCATTCAAATAAATAAAACAATTATCATCACATAAAAGTTGGCTTTGCACAATTTTTGTCTTCTTAATTTTTTTACTTAAATTTTACAATTATGCAAATTTATTACCAAACAATTACTCAATAATAGATAACGGTATACAAACTACTAAGCCATGATTAATGACAGTAAAGTAATTATAATAAAATGATTACCTTTATTTATATGACTTTCTTGAATATTTTGAATGTTTTCTAAATTAATACCTAATTGTTGTAAGAGATTGGGTGGTAGAACAATCACTTCTTGTTCACTTCCCTCTAAGGATGTTTTTCCACAATCTTTGGACTGTGTGTTTCTCTTAATGGTATTTGAATTCATCATCATAAATAATACATAAAGCATGCACTATCCAGACACATTTCTATAACAGCACACTGAAAATATTAAAAGCCGTAAAAATAAAGCTAAAAAAAAAGTACCCACCATAGGATAGAACCTAGGACATCAAAATAATTATGTGCAAAATGCAAGCCTTGGAAAACAGAGCTAGCCAATCAAAACGAAATATTACGAAATTTCAGTTTATTACTAAAATTGCAAACAGAAATATTAAAGAATAAAATAATATTTCATCAAAACTTCAGAGTAATACATCCCATATATATATATATATATATATTATACATGCATACAAAAATAAAGACTTAAAATTTAAAGCAAGAAATTTAAATATATATAGGTATAGCAATTAAAAATTAAAAAAAGAATACAAAAAGACTATTCTTGCACCGGGATCGAACCATAGCCATAAAAGTGAAAATAACACGTGGTGTCAAAACGCTATACCGTCAATCGGCATTTTGACGAAATATTGCATATATATAAAAATGGTGCTATAATTAAAAAAAAAACACTTAATTATTTGATTGCAGTTATAATGTACGTATTTCTATAAACAATAAAAAAAACACTATCATACTTACATACTGTAAATGTAAAAAGAATATTTTACATCCAAAATTTAATTTTAAGTGTCTTCGCAAAACATGTAAATTTAAAGTAACTCCGAAAAATTTAAATGAAATTGCAAGATGTTTATGCCACTCAATAAATCCACTCGTAATAATTTTTTATCATATAAGTAGACGGTATCTACGTAAAAGGTTAGTTAGTTAATATAGGTAGTTACTTTTTAACTCATGACATATGTAAGATGTAAGCAATGACAGCAGATAATATTAAAGAGTGTAGAGTAAATAATTATCCATAGGCTTTACTCCTAGCCAATAAGTACGTACAAATTAATGTTCACATTCCTATAGGCTGAATGTGATTATTGCATACTTTTTGGAAGAGATCCCTCCGAGAAGTCAAATTTAAGAAGTTATCTACTTCAATATTGCAAAAAAAAAAATTGGGTTTATGTTAAATAAATATATTTTTAATCATTTTATCGCAAATATCAACACTCATTGAATAATTAATTAATTTACCCCTTCTTCTTTAACATTGGTTAAAAAAGAAGGGGTAAAAAAATATTTCACGGTAGTTTCTACTGCTACATTCAATAATAAAATTTGTTATCTTTTGTAATGTAATTGTAGAAAAACCTATGGATGTCAGAAAAAATATCGATATAACTATAAAAATAGATAGAGGATATTCATAAAAATATCAGTATCGGCCTCGATATATCGATATATCGGTCAAATTTTAGTTTTATAACAATAATGTTACTATATCTCGACTTTTAACGAGGCCCGTCCGTTTCACGGTCTTAGGCTGCTACACAGACCGTCACTTACTGTTGTTATTTTGTTTGCTTATTTTTATGTTTACATTTATTTTAAGTTTCTGTGTAGTTATATTATTATTTTTAAGTTTTGTATGTATTCATTCGTTTTTAGACCGTGAATAAACGTTTCTTTTTCTTCTTCTTCTTCTTCTTAATGTATTCAGTTCAGTCTGATTCAATAAGTAATAGTAATTTTTATAATTCACATTATTTAAATGAATGAGAAATTTTAATAAAACATTAATTATTTATGAGTTTTAATCTAATTTCTTTTATTAATCTAAATTTCTAGGTATGTTATTTTTCAAGACCTTCATTGAAAAAAAAACAAACAGGTTATCTAGTAAGATAAAATGATTAATAAAAACATGTAACTTTGTAAAAAAACATAAGCATTGTTTAATACGAAGTTAATAATGAGTCAAACAGAAACCTGCAGATACTTGTCATAGAAGATAGGCATAGATCAACAGACTTTAGTAATAGTTGTTTGATTTACATGAAAATGCTGAACGACAATTTAATGAGAAATTGAATGACAATGAATAATTAAAGCATCAAATTTTAGTATATATACCATAATTATAGTACAAAATGGAACTCTGCATCCGCGACAATACTAGTAATAGGCCACATTTTTATCTTTAACAGCTTTGAATCAGTTTGAAAAAAAATATCGTTATTGATACGATTTCGATATTCATTTTTTTATATCGATATATCGGATCAAAATATATCGGCCTAAAATATCGATATATTAAAAAAAATCAATATTAAAAAAAATCGATATGTCGATATTTTTTCGGCATCCCTAGAAAAACTTTTAACATGATTAAATGAGTATTTCTTGTTATTTTCAATCAGTCAAACAATAAAATCTGTTTCCTATTAATTTAAAACTGGCGCAGGTCTTTCAAAAGGCACCATCAATTATATTTCTGTATCAATATTCGCCGTGTGGTGTCGGCGTAAGAATAAGCCACCCCATCAGATCCCGTGAGTTTCGTAAGAGGTGACTAAGGGATAAGCCATAAACATCCGGTGGCCTCCGGTAGATGGCGGGATAACGATCCTAACTCTCCAGACCCAAATATCCAGGTCAATAACGGGCAGCAGCGTTGAAGGTGCGAGGTGTCTGGAAGAACTGCGGTTGCCAACACGCTCGCCAAGCATGGCAACTATGGCAAAAACCCCTCATGTATAGAAGTCCAAGGTGTACGGCCCCCAGTCCCCGGCGGTCATGGTAACGGCAGGGCAGGGGATGCTAAGAATCTCCGGCTAAGATTCGGCTACCAACGACGGCGACTGGACCTGGCAACATACAACGTAAGAATATTGAGGACTGACGAGAGGATAACAGAGCTGGAAGAAGAGGTAAGCAGGCTGCGTTGGGATATAATAGGATTATCGGAAGTCCGAAGACAGGGGAAGGACAACCTGTTTTACCACCGGGTGGGCGACCTACTGTCCCGTTCTTAAAATCGAGGGTGTGTCGTCGAGGGTTGCGTACCTTATACTTAGAATATTCAAACGATATTCCCTGAAGGTCATACAGGTCTACGCACCAACGTCGACACATCCCGATGATGAGGTGGAGGCTATGTATGAGGATATATCACGAGCATTTACATTTCTCCAGTCTACATTTCTCCAAAACTCAGTACATGTTGTTAATGGGAGACTTCAACGCAAAGCTAGGCAAAAGGAAAGACAATGAACAGAGAGTAGGTAGTTTTGGAGATAGGGCAACGGAACTCAAGGGGGCAGCACCAGGCTGACTTTATGGAGAAGGAGGGACTCTTTATGATAAACACGAGAAAACGAGATAGACTTCATTATGACGAATAAACGGAAAATATTCAATGATGTCTCTGTGATCACAAGGACGAACAACGGCAGTGATCACCGATTAGTGAGAGACTTATTGAATATTAATAATAATAATAAATAATATAGAAGCAGATGATCGCTGCTTGGGGGAAGCGGATTCGGAGATATACCGAAAGGACGGCGCGGTTTAGCCAGAATCGCCTCTTCCAGAGTAACCAAAAGAGGCTCTACAAATCTTTGGAGCGACCAATGAGCTGTGGAACGGGCCAAGAACCATCTGCAGTAGACCAGAGGTTTTGAGTGAGATAGAGAGTTTCAATGGACAGCTGTAGACATCGTCGTTGGAGCCACACACATTTGTAAATAACGCCCCAAGAGCAAAGCTTATCCGACACTATTACGAAAATATCCCGGACGTCGGTCTGAGCGAGATTAGAAAGGCTCTTGACCATCTTAAGAATGGCAAAGAATCAGGAAACAACTGAATTACAGCAGAACTTCTGAAAGCGGGTGGAGAACCGGTATTTGTTGAGGAAGCCTTCGATTCTGTCGAAATTTTGGCGTTACTCCGGGCTCTTCAGCGGTGCCAAGTTTACTGTCGGTATATCGAGGTCCTGAGGTGTTTGTATAACAAGGGCACGATGTCCGTCCAAGTACAGTTCAGTAGTACAAAACCTATCCAACTGCAGAAGGGTGTAAGACAGCGTGATGTCACATCCCCGAAACTCTTCACCGCTGCGTTGGAAGATGTTTTCAAGTTTCTGGACTGGAAAGGAAGAGGTATTAACATCAATGGCGAATACATCACCCACCTCCGATTTGCCGACGATATAGTCATCATGGCAGAATCGCTGGAGGACCTGGGTACTATGCGCAATGACCTCAACAGTGTCTCCCAACGGGGGGGCCTTAGGATGAACGTGGACAAGACGAAGATCATGTCTAATGTCCATGTCACGCCTATATCGGGATCGTACTTCGTGCCAGTCTATGTTAAGCAGTGGACTCAAACAAGCTGAAATGATGATGGTGATGATCAATATTTTATGTGAAAATTGTTTTTTGGACTTTTTTAATTTCTTGCTACCTGTAGCCTAGAGCAACCGCTCGTCTTGTTTAACCCGGCGGTCTGGTGCTGAAGTCGTCAAGCGGTAAATTACCATCAGGTCTCACGAGTTCTCAGAGTTCACGGTTAAAAACAGTATTCATTATATTAATCTTGGTGTGAGGTAAGTAACGGAACCCAAACCTATTCTCTAAAATCGTGGCAATGTTACTATATTCACTGGTATGTAAACATTTACTAAATTGTTCATTTGCCGTCTTTTTCCTTGTCAATAGTATGTCTTTGTTATTGTTCATAGAGGGTAAAAAATGTAATTAAAGTTTTTTTGATCTGTTGACCATAACCACTTATTTTTGATATATCTAATGATATATTTTTGACATTGGCAAGCCAATGCCAGTTTACGACTAGTGATGATCTATTGTCAACAAGGCAAAATTTTATCGGTCGGCTAGGCTGGGACCAAAGACTACTATTGTATACTGGAAACTGGCTGGGAGGCTGGGACCATGTGCATATCATCCTAACAGTCTGTGGCAAGTCTCAAGTATACAAAGTTACTCTATGGTCTGTGGTTGCCGGCTGGGACGGTGGGTGACAGTGACCAAGTATACAAAGTTACTCAATGACAGTGACAGCGGAATTTCATATAATTTATGACTGTCTTTTACACTTATTTTAAATTATAACCTGAATACATGGATTTTTAAAACAGGTTATTTAACTAGGCTTGATTTTAGAGTTTTAAATGTTTATTAACTGACGATAGACACATAAAAATTTAGTTTCTAATTGAGATCTAGCCTGAAAATAGCGGTCATGGTTTTCTATTTTACCAGTAACGTTGTGTCTCCACCGGTAACACTGTTTATGGGTGCTGATAAACATGAAAGTAAGTTTTTACTCTTAAATTCTTGCGGCAGATTGTATTTATATGTTCTCGGTCTCAAAATAAATAAGTAATTAAAGACAAACATTAATAAAATGAAAAATAAAGTTTGCAACTTTATTTTCCATTTTATTAAATAATGAATATAATTTTCGCTATCAAATCTAGAAAATCTAACCTAATTAAAACTAATTGCGATGGTTTAAATTCATATTCTGCCCCACTTGCTATACTTGCTACTTTGTGTCCAGAGGCTTAACCATAATGTTTTCAAAAGGTCTGATTTCTTGTGCCGAATTCAGTGGCATCTATGTCCAGGTACAGAGATAAGCTCAACAGACATTAAATATAAGGCATAAGCTTGTCCCACTGCGAGTAAGAAAAGTATATTATTGATACAACTTTCCATTGACGTCTGTTGAATTGAGGTGCGGGAGGGGTGCGGGGGGATTACCCCTACCTTAAAAGGAAAAATTTCGGAGCCCCCCAATTTTCGTTTTTTAATATTTAATTTTCAGGAAATTTTGGTACAATTTTCCAATAGCGCTGCGTTTTTTTCGACCTAAAAATTAACTTGGTAAAGAAAAATCACTAATGAAATAATCAACAAGCAGAATTCTATGGTCGCTAGCGTTAGAGAAAACTGCCATCATCCGCCATATTAAAAAAGAGGTTTTAAAAATTCTTAAACTACTGTTGCACTGACTTTCTCTCGGTCATAAAAAAATTACCACAAAGGCTAAACTTCTAGACTAATCTATCCGAGTAGGATTGCCCTGTGCCGATATGTGACTCATTAAATTTTTTAAAAAATCTTAAATTGTTTTACAATCAATCCGAGGATGACATTGCTCGCTTCCTATATTTATCATGTAGGCAGTACTGTGTATTGAGTTTATGAAGTCAAATTTGTAAAATGGTGGACTTTCTTAGTGAAAATAACAAGTTTTAAATATTTTTTTTTCTCAAAAACTATGTGTTTGCGCGTGTGCTTATAATAACAACCCCCAACTCTACGGACATCAATGGAAAACTGAGCCATATTAAGGTAACACTAAAATAAGGAACATATCTAATGAAAAATGAACTTTACAAATATTTTATAATACAGCAAAATTTGAATTTTAGTATCATGTGTTTTGTCAAAAACATTAGTTTGAAAGTGCTCCTTTTTAAAACAAAAAAAAATTATTTTCAGATGAAGATTTGATAAAATGGGGTTGGCCTGAAGATGTCTGGTTCCATGTTGATAAAGTATCATCTGCACATGTTTATCTTCGCCTGACTCCTGTTTGTAATTTATTTTAAAAACTACATATAAAAAAAATTCTTACTGCTTTAACTTTAATATAATATAAATATTTAGTAACACATATAAATATGTATTTTTTTATACTTTATGATTGACAAGTCCAAAGTCTTAGATAGGTGAAAAGTATACTTTTTTTTCTATATTTATCTAACGCTTAAAAATACCATACACTATATCATGATTTCAATTTGTGTAACTGTATTATATCAAAGTGTATCACATATATTTCAGGGCCAAACTATAGATGACATACCAAATTCTGTACTAGATGATGCATGTCAGTTAGTTAAGGCTAATTCTATTATGGGCAATAAAATGAATGACATTGATATTGTATATACCATGTGGTCGAATCTGAAAAAAACACCAAGTATGGAGGTAAAACCCCTTAATTTATATACAGCGTGTCATTACCATCGCGACAATGAATGAACACACGTCAAACGCTACTTGCCAGTAATCATAAAAAAATATTAATGTTAAACAAAATCCATAATTTAAAAAAAATACTTTTCAAACTAACTAATTAAGTACAAAAGAAACAAAATTTGTAACATCCTATACAACTCGCGCCACAGCGTCGCATTACAAGCCTCTCCTTCTAACAGTATGTTTTGTCTCTTAAATTCATTCAACCCATTCATATGCTTTGTGACTTTTACAAATTAACTTTACGTTAGTTTTATAGGTAGGGTTGTTCTAAAATTCTTTGTTTTGGAAAATTTAATAACTGACATATTGATGTTTAAAGAATGTAAATGTTTAATACAATTTTTGAAAGTTATCCCCTATATGTGTGTTCATTTATTGTCGCGATTATAAAGACACGCTGTATATATATATATATACAGTAATCCAATAAATGCTTTGCCAGGCAGTGTCGGACTGTCGAATTTTTTGTTTAGATTTTATTTCTTGTAATACAACAAATTACAGTTTAAAATGGTAAGATTCTACCAAGCTGCAAATCTGAAATTAAACTCAGCAATCAGAATCAAAACAACATGCGTTGAGCACAACACAGTACTTTCGGTCGCGCATACAGGTTGTAACCTATTCAATGCTTTAACTGTGGTAGGGCCACACAGCAGCCTTGGCTGTTGCACAAATGAGCAGGCTCATCCGGGTAACTACCACAACTCACAGAAGAACGGTGTAAAGTAGAAGTATAATACTTTCCGCGTTTCGTCTGGTGAGTGAGGAAGCCGGAGCCCAATTTTCAAAAGGTTGTCAACGCATCAATAACCCTCGGGTGTAGCAGATGTTCATGGCGGCGGTATTCACTAAACATCAGGTGAACCAACTGCTTGCTTGGCAACTTTTCATATAACAAAAAAATGCTTACCTACATTAGTGAAGATTTGCCAAAATAATGTTTGTGTACCTACATTCATCAATGATTATGGGGGTTCCTCTGTATATACATATATATATATATATATATATCCTGTTATTTATTTTCAGGCCGGCCAAGTAGGTTTTCATAAAGATAGGGATGTAAGAAAAGTAAGAGTTGCCAAAAGATGTAATGACATTGTAAACAGGCTCCAAAAAACCAAACGAGAATCATTTCCAGATTTAAGACAGGAAAGAGAAAATAGGGATAGACTTGAAAGGGAGGACAAAAAGAAACTACTTAGAGAGAAAAAGGAAAAAGAAAAAGAGGAAGAAAAGCGAAAAAAGGAAGAGGCAGAACTACGCAGTTACGCAACTCTGATGAAGGCTGAAAATATGACAACTAATTATGATGGCAATGATTCAGATGAGTTTATGTAAAATAAATAGAAATTTATATTACACAGTATTTTGTTCTAGTGAAATAAAGTAATACCTTTTATCTATATTTCTTGCTAGACAAGTCTTAAGTTATACAATCTTGCAGCATATGGCACACATCTGCTTACATACTTCGTAAAATCTCCTTTGGTATTTTTAGAACAAGTTACCATATAATCTTATCCTTCACAACAAATTAAAAACATATGTTTAACAATGCTATTAACATTCCACATATACATGTACTGTGATTTAAACACATGTTAACATGTTCCATTCCTCTGATACTGGTATATTTTTAAGGTGAACTTGCAGTGCGAGTTGGTGACACTGAACATATTAACTACAGGTAAATTTATGTGTCCGGAAACAAAACATGAACCACAGGCTTTTTATTTGAAATTTTATCCTAAATAAATAACAGTACATTTATGCTTCTAATAAGTTTATTCCAACAGAAGATAAGCAATTTGTTACCCAATTAGGATAGCTTGCATCAGGGAAAACTTCATTCATAAATTCCTTAAGAAATTTGACAAATGTGCCATTAATGATATGTGCTCTCATTGTTCTCATAAGTCGCATCTGCAACAATTTTTGATAAATTTTTAAATTGTGCCAATGACTCAAATCAACCCATTAATTCGAAAAGCATATTTTATGAACTTATTATGGGTTGGTACCAGATACTCATGACATGTTTTAAAACATGATATGGTACCATGCAATAATATTACACCCCTAATTTGTTATTAAAGTAAAAGTAAAGTAACAGCCTTTACATGTCCCGCTGCTGGGCAAAGACCTCCTCTATACAGAGAGTATCAGGACATAGTCCACCACGCGGCCCCACTGCAGATTGGCGGACTTCACATATCTTCGAAATATATTTAATTTGTTATAAAGTAATACTATAATTTAAAATTACGTTTTTGTACTGATAAGTGCTGTAACTTCTGCCTACCCTCAAAGGTTTGCAATACAACTGCAATCACAAGGGTGTAGTGATCATGTGACAAAACCTTACCTGAAATGCAATATTATGTACTGATATCAAATGACAAGCTACTGTTTCAACTGATACTATACAATGTAAATATGCCCTTGTGTAATTTTTGCAAGTAGAACATGAACAGTCTTTGTCTATAGGATTTAGATCAGTTTCATAAAGCTTTTGTTTTAAATTTAACTGTCCTTTGTTGATAAGTGCACATCCAAATCTCTGTAAAATAATTATTTCAAATTAGTCAATCTTCACAGAAAAATGTTTTAATCTAAATATAAAAATACAAATACCCAGCCTAAAGTAGTAGGTCAAGTTTTAATTTTATTAACCTGTTAATAAAGTGGGCCCTGGCTACCCTCACTCACCAGACGAAAGACAGATATATGTCTTTCGTCTGGTGGAGCAGTTTAACACTTCCACTTCACGCTGATCTTCTGTGAGGTGGTGGTACTTATATTGGAGGATACATATATTGTACAAATGCCATTTGTACAACATCAAGACTTGTGTGACCCTATCACAGTTCTTTATTAACACAATATTATCAATAATCTAACAAACTATTGTAACTCAAACAATATTTCCAAATTATTCATTTGAGCTCCAAAAAAATTATATTAACGTTTTAAATTTACTAAAAACAGCTTCAAACTTACTGCAGTGCGTGTTGGAAAAACACAATCAAACATATCTACACCAAGAGCAACACAAACTACTAAATCAACAGCCAAACCCACACCCATTAGATATCGAGGTTTGTTATTGGGCAATACCTCTGTACCTAAACTAACCATTGGCCAGAAATCATCTTTAGCTTCACCACCACTGAAACCAAAGTAAACCATTGTGAACTTGAAAGAAAAAAATAAATGTATAAGTAATTATTAAAACTTTATAACCTTAAACCCCCTATAGCAAAACCATTAACATTTTTTTTCATATGGTCTCTGGCACTCCAACGTCTTAATTTTTCATTTAGCAAACCTTGTACTATTGGAAATATACTTTGTTCAGTAGGTCTTTTATGTGCTTTCAAACATCTATCAAGCCAACGACTTGTCCTTTCTGTAGCTTCTTTAATACGATCATAATCTTGAAATGTTGTCTGAACAACATCATCTAGTTGCATAATAATATCAGCACCTGTTATATTTATATTATTTGCTTAACACAATTACAGATAAGCATTAAATACCTACATATACAATATATCAACCTATGCAATTTTGAATTTCTATTGATTTTTCAGGAGTAAGCATAATTTCTGAATTGTCATATGGAGATTTAAACTTAACCCCTTCTTCTGTTATCTCTGCAAGTTTCAAGAGTGATACCATTTGAAATCCCCCTGAATCAGTCAAAAGTGCTCTATTCCATGCCATGAACTTATGAAGGCCTCCAGCTTTTCTTAGAACCTCTGTACCTGGACGATTACCCAAATGATATGTGTTGCCTAGTATGATTTCACAATCAAGAGATTCTAGCTGATCAGGTAATAACCCCTTCATTGTACCCTGAAATGAAAATAAATGTGAATATGAAAATAAGAAGTCTCATTTTACATGACAAAAATAAGTTTTAATATACAACCTGAGTTCCAACCGGCATAAATACAGGTGTTCTAACATTACAATGAGGTAATTTCATAACCCCTGCGCGAGCTCTGGTTACTGTACATTCTGCTTGCAAGCTATAATGTAATGCCATTTCTATTTTACGAAATCATATAAATGGATGAATTCTCCAAGATTTGTTAGAATACTGGAAAAAGTAAATTAAATAACTATTATTCCTATAACAAGCAACATGCAATATCAATAACAAACAAAGTGACAGACAGTCTTAAACTTATACTTTTTTTTAATAATAAATTGGCTTGCTTTGTAACATAGCACAATTCAGGCACTGTCAAGTAGTTTTAAATTTAGCTTAAACTTATTAACTTAGTTTGTAAAATTGTAAATAAATTATTAAAATTGATTTGATTGAACCGATATTTAATGCAAAGAGAATGTAATCACTACGTTTAAGAGAGGGGACCTCCATTTCCATAGATAAAATACTAATATATGCTAGCCAGTAGTGGTGGGCGATACATATCGTATCAGATATGAAAACTAGATATTAGTACAATATCCGAATATCGCTTACTGGCTCGTTCAATATCTATGTATTTTACAATATCTGATATTTCCGAAATCTGATGTAACGTGCTCGCTCGCTATACCGACACGAATCGTGATATCATACGCGTTTGCCACAATATCTGATTTTTAAACAGATTTCGAGAGACAAAGCGCGTGAGATAAAAAATACTCACTAGTTAGAGCGGGACGGCAAGCAATGCACGATATCAGATATCGAGAGACAAAGCGCGTGAGATACAAATACTCACTAGTTAGAGCGGGACGGCAAGCAATGCACGATATCAGATATCGAGCGACAAAGCGCGTGAGATATAAATACTTACTAGTTAGAGCGGGACGGTAAGCAATGCACGATATCAGATATCGAGCGACAGAGCGCGTGAGATATAAATACTCACTAGTTAGAGCGGGACGGCAAGCAATGCACGATATCAGATTTTTAAACAGATTTTGAGCGACAAAGCGCGTGAGATACAAATATTACACTAGTTAGAGCAGTACGGCAAGCAAGGCACAATATCAGATTTTTAAACAGATATTTTGAATAAGTTAAGTAATTTTGAATCTTAAAACCATGCCAATAAGATCCGTTTCAATTAAATACTAATCATGGTATCAACGATTACTACAATGATATTATTAAGTATATTTTTATTGTTTTGTTTAGCCTTGAGCCGTAACGGGCGACAAAGCGCGTAGTTAAGTAATTTTGAATCTTAACAGCATGGAAAAAAACACGAATTACGTTATTAACGATATCTTAAAATATTGTTTAACCTTGAGCTGGATTGCATTGGTACCTAGCACGTAATAGTAAGGGATGCCAACTTACTACTTAAGAATTTTCTGTCTAAATTAAGGAAGAAAAATATAAATGGAAAATTTTTAGGAGGTAAATTTTTTGTGAATATTTTTATTCGTTAAATTTTATTCATATTTTTGGAAAAAAAGTAAAAACTACACAAAAAGAAAAATATAATTTAATAGTGCTGTGCTGCTTGGGTGGAAATCAGACCAAGGCTTATGTGCTTTGTGTGTATATTTTAAATTCTTCCGCCCTAAGTTATAATACTGAATGTATTATTTCTTACACAAATTATAAAAATATTGTCACTAATAATTGCGTGTTCTAAGAATATGTTAAACTTAATTATTTTAAGCGATATATAAGATGTTGAAATAAATCATTTTTATATTACTTCAATTTCTATTTTTAATGAAATATTTTTTTTTTATTATTATTATTATTATTATTTTTAGAATTCAAGGTGGATACGGGACCGTAAAATATCTAGATATTAAAATACATAGTTTCGAAATCTGATATTTGAAATCGAAATCTGATTCAGATACGGTACTCAGAAAAAGCGATACGACCCATCTCTACTAGCCAGAAATATCAGTTTACGCGGCACTCCAATACCAACCCAACCATACCACAAAGATATCAAACGACAATAGTACCAATGTAACGAGCGATATAGTGCTTAACCAAGCTAGCTTAGAATCTTATCGATAAAAGACACTAGGTAGAAACCGAAGTTTCCACTAATTAATTTTAGTAGGTAAGTATCGAGTCCGTATTTATGTCCAATTTTGATGAGGGGATATTTGGTAGAAGATTGGACTTGAATACGAACCCGAAACAAGATAAAAAACGGTTTCCGTTAATGAAATAAAATTTTATTACTGAAATAAAATTTGTTTCTTGATTCTTGAGCTAACAGCTGTTGTCCTGCTGTACACGAGTCTGGAAATAATTGAAACATAAAAATAGAATCAAAATCCAAAAATTATTTCAGTTTTTAAATACGTAACACTTTGTGCCCCTACTCTTTCACGCAACATTTCATTTCTTATTTTTTTTTCAATAATAAACATTAACGTAGTTATCGATATGTGGATATTACAGTTTCAGTACATCACTAGCACACAATTTAAATGAGATAAATTTGTTAATTTTATTTGTTCTTAGTTTGCTCTACTTACATATGGCTGCAAACTATCATATTGAAGTGCTTACATGGGCTTCATCTGAGGGAAATCTCGCCATAAACATCTTTTTTTCAAGATTCTAATGACTTGCTCGATTTTCACCAATTTCACAGGTAATAAACCGTCTTTTAGGCATTTTGAATTAAAAGTACAACTCTGATCACCTGTCACTAGTTTTCGTGAGAAAGTTTACTCTATGGAATTTAAATTTACAATGAAATAAGCATTTACATTCAAAATACGCGGTGCGAAATTAAGTTTTGACAAACAACATGGCACTTCTTGTATTGCAAGAAAGAGAAACTGCATTGAGGGATAGTGATAGCAATGTCCGGCCGCCATTATTTGCCGCGTAAAGTCCATAGAAAAATTTTTTGTTCCTAGTTTCATGATCCATCGATTCGTAACTATGTTTTGAGAATTGAGATGCTATTTATTTTGATTGATCAAAGAGAATTGGTATTGATTTACTCGATGTATAATATTCTCATGCATTGCCTTTTTGTAATAAGACTGGCCATCAAAAAGCAGTACCGTAAATGCATACAACATGAGACAGGTTTAAATTTCAATTCACAGTATAAGGTGTAATTCTTAATAATTATGGTTTGAAATTTTACTAGAACATGAGTCGAAATTTGAAATTTTACTAGTCTATCTAAGGTAATAGGAGCATATTGCAATATTGAGCCAATCAATGTAGTTTTTTTTATATATATTTATTTCGTCTTGTCTCAATTTACCTGCAACATGTGGTAAACATAAGACTCCTTATAAAAGTCATGGTTTCCCATGTAGAATTTCAATGTTTGTTAATTGAGACGTTAAAAAATAACAAAATATTGAATTTGTGCAAATTAAAACAATAATAAATCAGTTATAACTAGAGGTATTAAATAAAACAAAATATTATCTCCAAATCTTACCAGATCTTTTACTAGTTCTTCAAAAATCAAATAAAAATTATATAAAATCAAAAACAAAAAACAAACTTCTTCATAAATCGTCAAAAAATAAATCAACATAAATCTCGATTTTGAGACCGAAGGTAATTTGAGATCTCAATTTGCCCACATGTCTCAAATTAGCCTTTAACACTAAGTAAATTAATAACATTTGCAACTTATAATAAAATTTAAACATTGAGATCAAAATTGGAGTCTAAGCTATTAGGAACGTTTTATTGCGATACATAGGCTATACCTAGGCATACCTACGCTTTGAAGTGCGCACAAAAAAAATATTATTTTACACAATTTTATTAGTCTTATAATTAAATATTAATATTAAAAATGTATTTTCCCCTTTTCACTTCAGTGGGCTTAATTGTATTTATTATTCGAGAAGTGTCAATTGTCATCATGTCATCCACTGCTGGAAATATGTAAATACCCTTTGTAGCTGAAAAACATCTCATGAAGCGACAGGTCACTTTTCCGTCGCTAACCATGTTCGTAACTTGAGCAATAAACTTCTTTTCAGTTTGTTTTTTCGTATTCTCTTTGTAGAGTAATTCGACAACAACAAAAGAATCTGGTGAAATCTCCGAATTATTTACAATTTCTGTATCGATATCTTTAGAGCAACCAGCACCACCATCACTAGGTACAGAAACTTTAAATTGTTCGTCAGTATAGACCGATTGGTCTACATTGAGTGGATCTTCATTTTCTTGGTTCTCATTATGTGGGATGTTAGTAGTTATACGTGGTGACGCCGATCTTTCATCATCATCAGGAAACATGTCATGAACATCATCAAAAAACACTGTGTCGAACTCATTATTGTCATCGGATGATGAGTTTGCAGTATTCAAAACTGCTTCCCTCCATTCTTCTAAATCACTGCAGGAAGTGCTTTCATCATCGACGATCTTTTTTTTTTTTTTGTTTTTTCGTTTTATTATGTTTCGTCCTAGTCTTTAATGATTCGGATAAGTCCTCCACTGTTACACCTTTACCTGGAATAACTGCCACCTTTTTTTTTCTTCGGGGCTGTGCTGCATTCTTTTGTTCGCATATCTTCGAGATACATTTTAAACGTTTCTAACCATTGCTGAGATGCATTATTATGGATTTCTGGATCTTCCTGTGTAGGCAATCTATCTAAGACTCTTTTTTCATTAATTGGATATATCCCAGCTGCTTCAAATCCGGACTTCTAATTTTTTCCCATACTTTCTATATTATCCAGAGTTTGCTTCAAAGGCCTCGGAAAAACATGCTTCGGCATTACTCCTCTATTTTTTTCCTTCCAAAACAGCAGAACAGACCTCCATTTTATTTTTAATGGTCGAAACACTGCTACATCGAGGGGTTGGCACAACCCCGTACTGTTTGCCGGTAAACAAACAAATTTAATATTATATTCAGTACACTTTTGTATCACATCTAATGAAAAATGACTGCTCAGATTGTCACCAATTACAACCACGGGTCCTCTGCCATTAAACGATTCAACATAAGGAATAATGACCTTCAAAAACCAATCCTCAAATATTGTAGTGTCAAACCATCCACTCCGAGATCGGTTGTAAACTGTATTTGGAGGTCCTACTTCCGTCCATGTATTATATAAATGTTCCCCTTTATAAACGACGTACGGTGGAAGCAGAACACCTGACGCTGTCCCAGCAAACATTACGGAGGTACTTGATTTTGATGAGTCAATGATTTTATGAGCATGCTTGATACCTCGACGTACCAACACTTTCTGGCGTCCCGGGTCATCAGACATATTAGTCTCGTCAAAATTTACTATTGCGGCCGGATCTACATCCTCCAAGGTGGTTTTTAATTCTTGGAAGTATAATTTTAATGTCTCCTGCGTAACTCCAGCTCTTTGGCGTTTAATATTTTCTGAGAGCCTTACAGATAAAGTGCTTTTATGGCGCCGTAGAAAACCTTCCAGCCAATATCGTCCCGGTAAGTTACCTTTGAAACGTGTCTCATTTAGACCTAGCCTATCTAGATGTGATTTCACGAGTAAAGATAGGTCTAAACCTGATAGTGGATATCCCCAAGCAGCAGCTGTAATGATTGATTGCACAAAGACTTCCTCCAGAACTTCAATGAAAACTTTAGGACGGCCGACTTTGTTTAATTGTAGCCTTCGGTGTTTTCTATTTAAAGTTGCTCGAGGTATTTTAAATTTTTCTTCCGCTTCCCTCAAAGTCATGCCAATGTCAACTGCTGCCATAGCTGCTTTCAAAGTGTCCTCACTATAATTTCGGTAGGGTTTCGCCCCGAGAACTCTTCGTCTTCGCGAAGACATAATTACTGAAACAAAAAAAAATAATGTATCATCAATAATTATCATAATTACTTGAAATTGAACCACTAACGATTTGAATAAAATTTGAGACATATGCACCTAATTTGACTCATAAGCACCTAATTTGAGACATGGTCTCAATTTTTCATCATAAAAATAAAATGCGTCCAGTTTGAGGAAATTTTAAATTTATTCTGGCAACATTTAACAAATAGTCTAAAACATGGAGTTTTTTTTGTCTATGGGAACATGCTTCACAAGATGGGATTGATTAATCGATTTAAATCACAGTACTTATTAGTCAATTATCAGTTCTGAGGTATATGTAGTACAACAATATATTTCACAAACAAATTAATGTCTATTTCTCAAAAAATACTACTTACTTACCTAGTAAAAAATCCTTCACGACAGCAAGTATGGAACCTCCCACAACAAATTTGAAACTGAACTGTCAGTGCTGCCAAAATAATAATGATACTACATGTAATAATATATGCCATGGAAGTTTAGTCTCAGTTTACCTTCGAGTCTCATGTTGTACGCATTTACGGTATTATGTTTCCGAATTGATATAAATTAATAAATCCGTCTTCATGTATGAAGTATCGTTAGAATCTTTTTATCGTTTCCGAGTAATAAAAAACAAATGGTTCAACGTTGGCTTCAAGTCATTTTTAAGCTATTGCATAGCTTTTAGCATCGCGGGCTTTGAGCGCAGCGACCGAATCAAGAAATTCCGTAACGAAAATAAAACCTAACACCCCCACCCACTCCGCTTACCAAGTAGCTCAGCCGAGCGTTCGCTTATTAACGTGTATGTATATGGTACGACTGTACGAAGCTGACACGGATGGATATTATAATATTATATTATCATATGATGATATTATAGTCAGAGGATATCAAGTCTCAAACTTATGTTTCTTATTTCATAATAAAAGAAAGAAATTCGTTTTCTTATCGGTCACCACGATCAAAAAGTGTAACTTTTATTAACATCAAAGAAAAAAAACTGCATAAATAAATAATTATAATTGCATAAGTTGATAAAAAATATGCTATGCAATAGCTTTACCGTGGCAGTCCCCGAGTGCCACAGGATTTTTTTTCTTAACTACATACATTCATTGTAGGAAAAATAGATGATTTAACAATGTCGTTACTCGTATGTTTGCATATTTAGTTAGAATATCAGACCCGGCAAACGTTGTTTTACCATATAAATTAATTGTAGGGCAGAAAACAATTTAGGGGATGAAATACTGACTCCTTGATATAAATTAAAATAATCTGGAAGATGATATTGTTCTTTTATTTACATTTAACCATTACATGTTTAAGACATTAGTACCCGGAGGACCGAGCTTTGCTCGGTTTGTTTTTTTTGGTAAATCGTGTATTTTGGAAATTACATTTAGATACAAATTACTGAGTAATGAAATATGCATAATATTTTTCGATCTTACCGACGTAATAATAAGAAAATATGAACTGATGTTTTTCACAAAAGAAAGGACTTAAAAAAAAAAGGAAAAAATAACAAAATAAAAAATCGACAAAAAATTAAAAATAAAGAAAGCAATGATCTGGAATCAAAAAAAAGGAAAAAAATAAATGTGTAAATGATCGTGACGCGAACCACGGCCGTCTGTTTTAGGGCCGCCCGATTACCGACCGAGCTATTTTGACATTTTCTCTTGCGGCGAAATTTACCGTCATATTCGAATTATATTTTTCATTCCCTGAAAACAGGGATAAAAGGACATTTTCTAAAAATGAAACCTAGCTAGATCGATTTTTCGCCTCCCAATCTACGCACATACTAAATTTCATAAAAATCGCTGGAGCCGATTCCGAGATTCCAATTATATATGTATATATATACAAGAATTGCTCGTTTAAAGGATAAGATATTCATATTTTTAAATCAATATAATATAATGAGAATGACAGACATGGTCAAAAGCAAACGCTCATTAATGGCTCGTATGTATCATTTCGTGCAACTACGTAACGTTAGTACTTCAACACTCTTAAAGACAACCCTCGACATGCTAGATGTAGTACTGATGTCTATTATTGTTAGTAGATTTTCTTATTTATGCTCGTTCTTATGGTGGATTACATGGGAATACTCGTTGTCAGATCCCTCATCGGACATGTACGCACCAAATAAAAGTTATCACGTGGTACTGTAGTTTACTTGTTCGATTAAAATCAACAATAACGAAAATAGCTATTAACCACGCCGATGTCCAGAACACACCCCCATGTCCGATGTCAGTTGACTTCCACAACTCATAACCGTCAAGTATATATATATATATATATATATATATATATGTATATATATATATATAAAACTCCACAACAAATAGCTGAGAGATCTATAATGACTCGGCGCTCAATGAAGAACTTAACATTGTATTAATTAAAATACTTTATTGTCAAAATTGCATTCAATAGTAGATTATTCTTATATATCTATGTTGACGTGCGAGCGCCGAGTGATTACAGGACATACACTATGAAAGGTAAATTGTATTTTTTTATTTTGAGTGAAGATGTCTGAAATACTTAAACTAAAAAACTTTCTATACTTTCAAATTTTCTGCATAATGTCATTTATATTCTTTATTGATCTAATATTTACAAGATTAAATCTATCTAAAATTACATATTATACAGCGTGTCGTTACCATCGCGACAATAAATGAACACACGTCTAACGCAACTTAGCAATAATCGAAAAAAAAATGTTAACGTTTAACAAAATTCATAATTAAAAAAAATATTTTTCAAAGAAAATTAATTAAGTAAAAAGGAAAAAAAAATTGTAACACCTATACAACTCGCGCCACAGCGTCGCATTACAAGCCTCTCCTTCTAACAGTATGTTTTGTCTCTTTTAAATTCATTCAACCCATTCATATGCTTTGTGACCTTTACAAATGAACTTTACGTTACGCTTTTATAGGTAAGGCTGTTCTAAAATTCTTTGTTTTGGAAAATTTAATAACCTTGTAAATATCGATGTTTAAAGAATTTAAATGTTTAACACAACTTTAAAAAGTTATCCCCTATATGTGTGTTCATTTATTGTCGCGATGGTAACGACACGCTGTATAATAAACATAATCCACGCGGCATTTATATTGTATTTTAAAAATATTATTTTTATTTGTGTTTAAAATTTGCTGACGTTTGAGATTCATTATCATTACACCCACTTACTTGTGATTTTTGTACCAAATTTCTGGAAATGAATACAACTCATGTTTGAATTCATGTAAATGTATGTCTGTTATAATATATGTTACGTAAATGAATATGTCATATGTTGTATTTATTATCATGCTAAATAAAAAAAGTGAAGTACCAATTCATTCGTTTAATTAGAGTGCTCTCTAAAGATGAATAAATATAGCAATTTATGCACAAGTATACTGTGTGTCACAAACGCATTGTACTTGTGCATAAAATGCAACGCCAAGTACCTTTAAAATTACTAGTTTGAAATTCCCGCCCTAGCATTTGCTAACTAGTTCCTTTGGGCAGAACACAGATGGCGACGGTCGGTAAGAAAAATTTCCTCCTAAAATTTGTATGGAGCCGTCATTCTTCTCTTTGAGTAAAAGTGTTCTGTGGGTTAGGGTTACGTTGTTTGAGAACTGTCAGAAATAAATCCTAATTTTCATTTAAATTGTTTTTATTTAAATTGAGCGTCTACAAAATAAACTTACATAATTTTTCATATTGCATATTTAAAATGGGAAGTCCAGAGCGCGAGCTCTGTCCTCCACCGTCTGAAGAAGATGAACTTACTCTTCCAAGAGCAAGTATAAATAAAATGATTAAGGAATTAGTACCGTCGGTACGTGTTGCATTTGAGTCAAGAGAGTTGATTTTGAATTGTTGTACAGAATTTATTCATCTTCTTAGTTCAGAAGCTAATGATGTGTGCAACCAAAGCAACAAAAAGACTATAAATGCAGAACATGTTTTAACAGGTATATATTGAATGAAGTGATAATAAGGTAATTTCTATCCTCTACTTTTACATTTTGTTTTTGCTAGCTCTGGATAGATTAGGGTTCAGTGATTACACTGTAGAGGCTGAAGCTGTTCTAAAGGATTGTAAGGCTGTAGCTGCTAAAAGAAGAAGACAGAGTACACGTCTAGAAAATTTAGGCATACCAGAAGAAGAACTGTTACGGCAACAACAAGAACTTTTTGCTAAAGTAAGAAAAATATTTGGATTTTAGTACAAGTAATTATTTAAATAATAAGTTATATATGAATTCTTTCTTTCCGCTTTATAATTACTCTGCCCAATCAAAAATCATTCACCAAACTTTTCATGCAGTTTTTCAATTTAGAACTATTGAAGTAATCTTCCCAATCTTAATAAAACATTGGGAAGGATAAGACAACAGTCTTAAAGTTAGTAATTACTCTGAATACATATTGAAAGTTAAATCTAAATAACTGCTAATACACTGAACTTAAGATTATTTTTTATTAAATAGGAAACTTGGGTGACAGTATTCAAGAATGTTTAAAATTAGCTGTGACCTATACCTTTTCTTGACATTACAATTAAATCCAATGTATGCATGTGTATTTTTCTTGCTTTGATTTTGCTCACTATTTCCTAGAGCCATAGGTAACTGCTCTAGGAAATAGTGAGCAAAATCAATGCTACATTGAGATAATGCATGTATGATTTATTTTTGCCTGAAATTCATGCCTTTAGATCTGAATTGTTATAATTGTAATATTGTTTTTGGATTTGATTATCATTTGTAAACAGCAAGACAGCTGGTGAAATTGCGACAGACTAGAGCAGAAACCTCCTGGAAGTCAAAGCTTTTTAAATCTCTATGCACACATTTTAAATACAAAACATAACAGTTTACTGTTTACTCTGTTATAAGAAATTGTAAAAACTGTTTTTGTTTTAAGATAGGATTACAAATTGTGTAATAATCTTAAAAAGTTTAACTTAATCAAATTTATAACCAGTAAAAACTAGGTATTTTTCATACATGAGTGCAACTCTGTAACTCTGCCACTGTTACCTGCCATGTATATACTATTCACTAACCAAAAGAAATATAATTTTATATTAATCTGTTATTTATTGTATTTATATAGGTGTTTCAAAATATTTTTTTAATTAAAGGCTAGAGAAGAACAAGCTAAGCAAGAACAGCAGCAGTGGTTATTACTTCAACAACAGGGGCTTGTTGGGGCTGAGGGTGTACCGCAGCCTTATATTCCTCCACCAGCAGGCTTGAAAAACGATGATGATGAGGATGATGATTATTCATAAACTATTTTATAATTAAACTATGGAACAAACATAATACTTGGTAAATATAAGAAGTAACATATACCCTTATTTTATTTCTGTTTTGAATTTATTTATACATAACACATTACAAATATAGTAAAAAGAAGTTAAGAAAACAAATCAACAAAATATGTTGGAAACTTACATCAATTATGCAAAGAACTATGATTCTATATGGTAATAGCATAATCATTTAAAAATAAGGATACATTTTTATGTTCGACTTGCACCAACTAAACCCTCCATGAAATTCTATAACAAACAAATGTAATAGGTTGGGGAAAAAGTTTCTTCGCATTTTATATCAAAATTAATTTTTTTTTAATAGTTTACTTACATTGAACTAAAGTTTGTAGGTGCCATTTTGTTCGATAACTTTCTGCCATCTTGCAGATAGGGACATGATCCCATTGCTATAGAAATTTTGGGTCTTAGTAACCAAACATTTAGTTGATTTAGGACAGAAAGCAAACTTTACTTTTATGTAAAATGCAAATCACCTTATACCATGTAGTAAGATTTGTACCATCTGTATATTTGCATTGTTTTCTCAGTAAAAATATTAACTTGAAAAATTGTTCTTAGAAATGGCTAAAAATTTGACCGAAGATAGTATCTCAAATTCACAGAGTGCAGGTACCTAATAACTACTAATTTTTTTCATTTGTGACACTGTCTTATTTTTTTAATCTGATATATTAGGTTGGGGACAAACTTTTTTCGCAAATAGTATGTATGTACTTATAATATAATCTTTTTGGCTATACCATTTGTATCTTGATGGTTTTGGTATCATTAAAAAGTTTAAATTTTAACAAAGATAATTCTAAATTCAAATTAGGAAAATGTGTGATTTTCATTTGTTTTTCTTACTGTTAAGATGAGTCTAATCAAAAAATTCGATACATTTTAAAAATTTACTATAAAAAAGTAAAAATGCAACGCAAGCCGCGAAAAAAATTTGTGATATTTATGGACATAGTGCAGTGTCTGAGAGTAGCACAAATTTGGTTTAAGGCGCTGTGTGCAGTAAAAATAGGTTTTTCAAAAGATTTTTTAGCAAAATCTACACATTTTACAGCAGCAAAAAAAATATATGTTAACCTTGATCGTACATTCTAATGGACCATTGTTTCCAAAACATATTCTCGATATATTTTCTCGATAGAAAAAAATCATGAAACTACCTCTAAAAGAGAAATTCAAATCCAAAAACTAACGTAATACATCAACAAATCTTAATGAAATTAATATCAGTGGTGTAGAATATATTAATAAAAAGGATTGTTGTTTTAATTTTTTGATTGAATTAAGATATTCGTAAATATTAATTTAATTCATTAAAATTAATTCGAACGCGATGGCCAAAACACCGCGCCACCGTGGCGTTGTTTCGGCTCTCTTCCAATTCCACACGGTGAACAGAGAGCGCTGAGGCGCCTTGCTAGATGGATCTATGCCGCTCATCGCCCGCTCACCGTTACGAAATATGTTTCGTATTTATTTATTATTGAGAGTTTTAATATTATTAGACCTTCCATAACACGAAACTAAAAAATATATATTCACATATTTCGTATTTTAAATTATTTGTATGTATTAACAGTTGTTAATTTATTTATTTAAAGCGTAATTTCAATATCTTATCTCGTGATTGGTCTATCAGTCCTATACATACACTGTATAGGACCATCATTCTTTATGGATTGGGTTCAAATACCGAAATTTTTTGTTGAACTTATTGTTGATTTTCTTATTTGGAAGTATTTCTTAATTTCCATTTAATTTTTGTTGATTTTTTTATTTTCATAAATAATTACAACGAAATATTATTGTATTTGTTCAAAGTTGAAACAGTTGAAGAGCAATATATCAGTAATTAAACCGACTTTTAGTATTAAAAATTTTTAACGTCATCTATTTTTTTATTAAAATATTTAATTTTTCACCCTAAAACGAAAATTTATCTTATACACGAAAAATAATTGTTTTATATTTTTTCTTATTAATTTGTTTATTTAATTTAGCCAAATTGAACCATTTTATAAAATAAGAACAAAATAATTTGATGGCTAACAAAATAAAAGTGAAAATAATATATATAATACAACTCCCACTCGATGAGGGTTTGAACTTGAGACTACAGCAATAGTTTACCGTTGTGTATGACTCTCGGACCAACAGGCTACGCGAGGTCTGTGGTAAGTGACAAAATTTCGATTCTTGTTATAATTGCTGTTGTTTATCGATACAAATAAAGATTTTATCGATAGTTATTTAAATTTCATTTTAGTTGAGAAAGTAATATAACACAGTAAATCTTGAACATTTAAGGGATAAATTAAGATTCCTAATATATAAAAAAATGTAACAAAAAAAGTTGTATTCGTAATTTCTGCAAAAATTTTATGAGCCATTTCTTTAAAATAAGAATATAAACCATGAAAACAAAAAATAATAATTATAGGTAATGTCTTTATTAATTTATTTGACTTTAAGATGATTTTTAATCAATTCCTTTTCCATTTAATTAAAAAAATAATAATAAACAGGAAGAAGATTTTCTAAAATTGTTGATTGCTTTCTCATACTTTATATTTGTTTGTTTATTATTATTCCTGTTATATAATATAAAAGTAAAATACAATCATGGTCTATAAAAGATGTTATAGGGATCATCTGTGTACATTTTCGAAAGCCTTCCATGATACTATCGATAGTATCCTACGGCCCATCACTACACACACATTAGGTAAAGAATGACTTGGACGAGGACTTGGAAGCCCCAGAATTTCTATAGCAATGGGATCATGTCCCTACCATCATATTTCGTTAGTTCGATACCTTTCTGGCATGTTGTAGATGTGTTCGATACCTTTCTGGCATGTTGTAGATGTGTTCGATACCTTTCTGGCATGTTGTAGATGCCAGAAAGGTATCGAACAAAATGGCACCTACATACTTTATTTAAATGTAAATAAACTTTATTAAAAATGTTTTGAATTTTCATATAAAATGCGAAGAAACTTTTTCCCCAACCTAATTATATTTTATTATTTTAGACGTGACAAAAAATGAAATTAAAGACGAAGAGAGTAATGTAACTTAAAAAAAAAAAGAAAAGTGAAGTCAAATTGATAACTTGTATTGCATATGCTAATAAAGTTGGAAGAAAGTGAATGTCATAATTTTTTTTTTGTATATCATATTAAATATATTAACCCAGAGCCTCCCAAATAATACGATCGAATCAGATTCGAGTTGCGAGGTCCTGGTCCCCATGTCTCGTATATAATCTCGACCAGCAGAAGACTAATGGTGAGGTTAGCCCGAGCCAACCCCATCATTGACCGCAGGTACAACATGCGTACTCCCATGTTCCTCGCGAACCACATTCCCCGCCCTGCCGAGTAGTCAGAGAAAATTAAAAACATTGTTAATACCTATGACATTCAATGATAGCCCTCGATTTCTCTGGGATGGCATCGTCAGATCCGGGTTTCCTTATCATGATACCCCTTGGGATATCTCTTTTCCGACAAAAAAGAATCATCAAAATCGGCTCATAAACGACGAAGTTATCCGCGAACACATATAAAAAAAATAAAAATATATACGGTAGAATTGGGAAACCTCCTCCTTTTTTTGAAATCGGTTAATAATTTATTTTTAGGTGGTCTGATGTACTTAAGTCCCCTTCCTCGACCGGGTCGATGAAGACGTTGCGCGGGCCACACTTGTTGACGATTCGCGTTAGTATCGCGTTTGATAATTTGCTGCAATTAATTAATATTATAACTTGCCTAAATTAATTTCATTTACAGTCAGATAATATTTAGTTTTAAACCTTGGGTCAATAAGTGTTGCTGTAATAAATGGCAGCTTACTTTATCGAAAGAAAACTGCAGATTCAGGACAATTAAGAAATTACTTTTCATTCCTTCAGCATTATGTTGATTATTTTCTTCGTCATTAAACTCCATAAATTAAACTCTGAGAAATTAATTTTCCATTTGACATTGCCAGTAACAGTATTACTTCTGATATACAAGGAGACTGAGAAGATATCTAATCTGAAGTGTCTTATAAGCATAGTAACATATTGATTTTTTAAACAATCCCATTCTTCACTATTGATTTGTTCAATAGCTTATTTTTCGATGTTATAGAATTCTTATGACATTTTTTGTTTATCCAAATATTCTAGCATCAAATATGTGCTATTTGGCGCAATTGGAAAAAAATATGAAAGTAAAATTTATTCGATGCGCGCGCACATCGAATAGCAAAAAGCGACATGATGATTTTTGATTTTTGTTTCTACGATTCTGGCATTTTGTCAATTATGCCAATGACAAGTAATAGGAAGGAAACCGTCGTTTTGAAATAAACTTATTTCAACAGGAGTAGGAACTACCTTCATATTTGTATTACCTATAGTTTCAGCATATAATTATGTCTTATCTATGATTGCCTATAACTAAGATGAAAATCATTATTTATCATATTTGGAAAAAGCACATTTTCGCTTAATTTTTAAAATTTTATATAATAACGTTGTAATAGGTAAACTAGCACGATGGGGAGTTAGATTGTTAATTTTGAAATTAAACATCGTTGTGGTGTAGATATCGTTATACCAGTTGCTCTCTCTCGAGCTTTTCCGATCAGTACCATTACTACCTCGGTCATAAAAATACCAACGACTCTTGGTACAAAAATGTTTACAATGGTTTTATAATTAAACCTGAAAATTTCCCTAACTTCCTAATTTAAAATGACACCTTATTTCGGCTTCATAAGAAGAAATATGAAATCACTTCGGAGTTTTCTTGGAAAGAAGTAATTCCTAGCGAATTGCATACTCAAATTATCAATGAAAAGCACAGTGAACGCACAGCCGCACACTTAGGTATATATTAAACTTATTGTCGTCTTGCTTTATGATATTTTTGGCCTGGAATGGTCCATGACGCTGTTAAATTTGTCGGCTCTTGCATTAAATGCCCATCTTTTAAAAAGCCCAAAACCATCAAACGTTAGGTGAAATGGGTCGATCGAAACATTATTCTCGCCCATTTCAAATGATTTGATGGTTCACTTACCCACCAGTAGGAAGCAGAATAGCTTTATATTAGTAGTAACCTGCTATTTTTCTAAATATTATCTCATATTTCCAATCAAGCGAGCAACTTCGGATGCCATAAACAGAATTTTGGAAGAATCTTTCTTGTACACGGCATCCCCCAAGCAATTATTAAGGACAATGGAAGTCAAAATAAGTAATGTAACTGATAGTTTCTTCAAGAAGTATAAAATTCCCAATGATTTTTTATACACCAACATAAACTCCACATGCAAATACTGTGGAACGTCACAATAGAACTATAATTACTTGTATTGCAACCTTTGTAGAAGATGACCCTGTGGTATTTTGGGAATAAATAACAGAAACAATAAAAACAATTTTGGGAATAAATAACAGTCCCAGTTTACAGAAACTGGGACTTATTTATTCCCAAAATACAATTTGCCATCAACAATTCAGTCAGCGAGGCTACTGTTTACACTCCACCCTGTTCAGTTTTTGGCCGTGAACTGGTCACTTGCGGATCACATTACAAAGACACCAATTTAGGAGATGAGTTAGTATTTTTACTACATGATATCTGTGCGGAGAATCTGGGCTGCTTATTAACAATCTTTGATAGTCCAAATGAAGCTCTGGCAAGCACACATTAAAAATACAACTCACAACAACCTTCGGCGCAAACCAACTGAATTTAAAGTCGGTGATATTGTCATGAAGAAAACTTAATTACTTAGCAATAAATATAAAAAGTTTAGTAAAAAATTGACTCCGAAATACATAAAATATCGCGTTATTACTAAAAACTCTCCTCGTGTACATCTTAGAAGACCTGTCAGGTAATAAGAATTTTGGTACCTGACACATAAAGGACTTGAAGTTTATAGGCTCTAATAAATACTTTTTCCTCTTAATCGTACATTTTCTGTAGCGTTTTTTTTTGTTGTTTTAGAACAGGCATAGGTTCCCCGGTCGTATGATTTATGAATGAGTGTGCTGGATTTTGAAATGAATTTGAATCCGATCGGGCCATTCTCCGGTACGGCTCGGGTTGCGCAACATAGAGTAACTTTGCATACTTTTGTAAGCAACCTTTTCTTTTTTTAAATAAAACTTTGTACGTTAAAGTACCTCGAATCGTTGTATTGAACATCTCTCTAACATTGCCAAACATAATGATATATTTCTGATGTATGGTTAGCCACTATCGGGAATTAATTAATAAAAATCACTGCCATTTACTTTGTATGTATGTATTAAAATTATTAAATACCTTCTGTTGTGATAAAATCCGGAGTATGAACCATAATAATTATTTTTAAAAAGACAAAACTTTTTGCATTAAGTATATTGTTTGCGACTCAATAATTGTCAAGTTACAATAATTAATTAAAATATTGTAAAATGAATAATTTTTTTTTAATTTAGAAATAATAAAACATGTTTTAATAAAATTATGACTTACGGTTAGGTAAGTAATAAGAATTGAGCATAATCAATGAGCTAAATCATTAGTTACTAACATTGATCTTCTTATTTTATAATTTTATACGATTTCTTTCACGATACTTTTATTTTATTGCTTTCGTCTCTTTCCAAAAAGAATTGAAATGAAAGCTTGAAGTGGCTATAAAAAATAAAATTTGAAACGAAAATAATATAATTTAATAAAAAAATATACAACGTCTATAAAAATAAGAAGAAAAACGCAACAGTTTTAAAATTACCTTCTACGAACTTCTACTAACTATTTTGAAAATAGTCTAAATTAAACCATATCATTCAGTAAATTTTATGTACATAACAAATAAACTTGCATGCTTGGATTGCAATTATGCAATTATGCAAAAATGCTAGCGGGAAGCTATACAAGTATGTTTTTTAATGATTAATAATCTTTTTTTTGAATGAATATATTATAGTGATTATTTAATTAATATATAATATAAATTAAATTTCTAAAATTTAGGTATGGAAGAAATTTGTTAAATTTAAAAAGTTTATAAAATAATATTAAGTACGATAAAAAGTATAGCTTTAAACTTCAGATTTTTAACAATATAATATTATAAGCGGATGAGGACTACAGTAGGAACATGCAGTAGCTTCTGGAGTTGCACAAATCAAGCTCTTCCAGAGAAGTTGTGATACTTTCTGACAGAAGATTTAAGATGGAAGTATTAAAATTTAGTATTTCCTCTGCTGCAATGTAGTTGTGTAAGATCACCGGTAATCACTTAACATGGGATCACCCTCGGGCAGGCTTGCAATCTTCTTATTTCCCTTCTGTTTTATTGACATTAAAAGTTGAAGAAGAAAGATTATTATAAACTGAATAATTTTAATGGATTTAACAAAGCATCTGAGTATAAACTTCAAATTATTTGTTCTTTTTTCGAGTCTTTAGATTAACATACAGCAGATAAAATATATAGTTTATATAGCAAAATCATGTCAGGCAGTATAACATTTGTCAGTTAATCATGTAACATTAGATCAATTATTTACATTAGTAAAATAGGGGCTTAAGGTCCTATCTATAGACTATATTGTCGATCTGGTCTATCTTGTCCATATCCTCGCTTATATTATCTCACAAAACAACTAGAATTTAAAAAAAATTATAATACAAACTCAGTTTCACTTAATTGTAAGCATGAAGGCCAGAAAAACAATAACTCACTTAAACTTTATCATGTTTGTAATATATTCAATATTTAATGGAAGATGGCATGGTTTTGACTTGTGTTTATCTTTTGTAGCAAATTCATTACACAAGTGATTTAGCACAATTGACAAAATTTTAGTACTTTATTTCACCTTCACTCTATGAATGTGATAATTTAACACATTATAACTATCTCTTTTCTGCAAAATTGCAACATTGATATATTAATAAATTACATTTCTATGGTAAAAAAATATAAATGACTATTATATATTATGTATTTTCTTTATAACCATCAAAATATAACTTTCATACTTTCTGCCATACTACAACTTCCTATAACTATTTTTTATAAAAGTGTTTACTGTGAATCTATTACTATTTTTAGAAAAAATCGTACCTAATTTCTCCCTTAAAACGGGCTAAGGCAGCAAGAGCGATATTTTAATATGAGTATCATCTAAAATTTTGCTGTCATATCCATCAATTATGAAATACCTTTGACTTTATTTAGTAAATGGCTAGGCGGTAACTGTGCAAACTGTCATCACCTGTTATGTTGTTACAATCCCCATACTGGACAAATATTTTTGGGATCCATAAATGGATCTTTTAGTTTGTTTTCATATTTCTGAACTTCCGCAACAAACAAACTATTATGAAAGGCGAAAGTCATTTTTAATAAATAGAATCCATATATAACACAAGTTTAAAAATTTGTAGTTATAACAGCTTCTTACCATTTATTTTAAAATATTCCCTTTTTCGCAACATGATATAACACAGCAATTAACTAAGCATGTTATTTTTGTATAAAATACAAATACAAAAGCATACATTTCATTAGAATTTATTAATTTTTATTTTTAGAGCTAGTCTCTGTACTCATGATGAAACTTTAAATTGTGATTTTTTTTAGATAAATTAATAAAACTTTCAGCACTGCATGATTCAAACCTGCCTCCGATTTCGCCTTGGCGCTTTACCAACTAAGCTATAACGAGCAAGAAACCAGTAGCTAAATAACTGGAAAATGCAGGTTCGCATGCATGTTCATTTATCTATAAAAATGTACAATTTAAGCATATATTATTAAATTTATTTTACAAATATCCGATAACACAACCTTATATTAGCATATACTAACCCTACTTAATCAATATTGTTTTTATAGTAGCTGTTGGACAAAATGCTTTAAAAAGAATTAAGCTGCCATGAGCTATTTTAAATTACTTGAATAGAAGTAATGTTTGTATATTAAAGTATGCATTGTTATGTTATAGGTACATGCCACTTTGTTATATTTTTTGGCAAGGTGCCATTAATGTTATCCTAAAATATTAAAACCTTTGCAAAATTTGATCAATACAAAGATCAAATACAACTTTTAATATTATTAACCTTTTTATTCCATTCTAGCAGAAACTAATTAAATTCAGTTAGAAATAATCAAGCTAATACTCTGCAAAAATATTTCTAAGACAGATAAAACCCTGCCTATTTGGTTTGTCAAAAGTATACCGCTTAGCAACGCAAGTGTTGCAGCGGCAAACAAATGTCACGCACACTTTGCTGATAAGCATGTGCGTTCATCTGCGTACCGTCATTTTGTAGTCTTTAAAGACGCCATTTTACGGCCTCGAGCTCTTGCCTCCTGCCTTGATTTAGTATATTCAAACCACAGCACATTAGGTATCAGTGTTGTGTCCCTTATCATTAGTATTTCACATAGCTTCCTGTAAATTAATATCATAAATAAAAATTTCATATATTCTATTCAATATATTTGTAGACATAACATTTTTAGAAATTACTTACAAAGACACCAACTGTGGAAATAAAGGTGTAAGTATTCTATGAACAACAATGAACCACACTGTTGCAAATAGAAATCCAACTATACCACCAACAATAACCTGGGATATAGTGTGATAATGCAAGTACACTCTACCAATGCTCACTAGAACAGCTAGAGTGAAACAACTGCCTACAATAATGACCCTCCATAGTGCTGATATTATACTATTGTTATTAATGTGATGTAATCTGCAAGTAAATTATTATATTTGTAATATTATACTTTAAAAAGTAAATCTAACAACAGAACCTAATGGTAAAGTTTAATATTGTGTATTACACTTGCATTCATTCATTCAAAAATATACAGTAAAGGATTTAAACAAATTTTTGTGTATACAATGAACCACATAGTGGTTTGTATATTGTTATGTAACATTATGTTTTAGGCAAACATTGCTGTTTCAATTCATTCTTGTTGCCTTAAAGCTGGGTTGGAAGATTGATTCAATGATATTGAGAGAGTTTGTTTAGTTTGTTTTATAAAATAAAAAGGCCCAACATTTAAAATACTCGCCTTATAACAAAGAAATATAAAACATAAAAGCTAAAAAACCATATGTATTGAGCATGGGACGAAGGCATGCCATACTCATTATACAAATGACCCCGTACAAGAGGTCTTGCTTCACAAATTAAATGTTTTAAAATTATATTGAGTAACTCATTCACCAAAGTACCAATAAAGAAAGCTATCTGAAACAAAAGATTCATTTAATTGTTATAATGACATCAAATAGAAAAAAGGAAATTTATTAATTTAATGTAACTTACTGTATGAAGATCGCGCCTAAATAGTATTAGTGTTACAAACCCAGCTCCGATACCAAAGGGGCTTAAGCTAATTAAGGCAAAGATTTTGCCTATCCAATCACCTAAAAGGCAATTTTTAATAGGTTATTTAATAAATTATGATACGGTGCAGAAAAAGTAAATAATTTATGTAAACATTAAGATGCACAATAATCAGGTTGTGATATTGTATACTATCACTGAAGTACATTTTGTGATAAAACTGTGATATACCTTTAGGATATTCAACTAGAGTTAGAGCTAAAGGCTGCCACTCTATGTCACCATTGTTGTGGTAAATTTCATTAACTGGCAAGACAGCATCCTCCATTATATTTCAATTACTCAGTTATATTGAATGTTTTTGAATCTACATTCATATACCTTATGCGTAACTAACGGTACCGACAATACAATATTCCAAATTATTGACACAACGACAATACATACATTGTTTATCACAGATTCTTATTTTCTACACCGACAATTGAAAGAAATGCATTACACAGATGACATTTGACAGTCATGTGGAGAGCTGTAAGAATGCAATCCGATATTTTTTTTAATGTAGATTGTAGTTTGCTTTTAGTGGTTTTGTCAGCTCAGTTGGCTCAAACCTCAAAAAAACTACTTAATTATTTCACGTATAAGACCCATTGAAACATTGTAGTTCAAAACAGATAATTCTCGGTCTTAGGATTTTCATTTAGAAATCTATACAGATAAATAAAATTGGGGTATCTGTTTCTAATATTAAAAGTACCCGGAGGAAAAGTTCGTTTTTTTTTTGGTAAATCGTGTGTTTTGGAAATTGCATTTAGATACAAATTACTGAGTAATGAAATATGCATAATATTTTTCGATCTTACCGACGTAATAATAAGAAAATATGAACTGATGTTTTTCACAAAAGAAAGAACTTTAAAAAAAAGGGAAAAAAATAAAAAAATAAAAAATCGACAAAAATTAAAAATAAAGAAAGCAATAATCTGGAATCGAAAAAAAAAAGTAAAAAAGGCCTTCTGTTTCGGGGCCGCCCGATTACCGACCGAGCTATTATAACATTTTTTTTTGCGGCGAAATTTACCGTCGTATTCGAATGATATTTTTCATTCCCTGAACACAGGGATAAAAGGACATTTTCTAAAAATGAAACCTAGCTAGATCGATTTTTCGCCCCTGAATCTACGCACATACTAAAATTTATGAAAATCGCTGGAGCCGTTTCCGAGATTCCGATTATATTTTTTTTACAATTTTTGTCTGTCTGTCTGTTTGTTCCGGCTAATCTCGGACTAACGGCGGAACCAATTTTGATGGGACTTTCACTGGCAGATTGCTGATGTAATGGATAATAATAATATGATGATATAATAATATGCAAGGAGTAACTTAGGTTACTTTTATTTTAAATATTTTATTTATTTTTATTAATATATATATTATAATTCCACGCAGACGAAGTCGCGGGAACAGCTAGTCGTAAATATAAAAAATGTGGGGCAGTCTTAGGACGGCCGATAGAAGTAAAGAAAGAAAATAACTAAGTTAACAATAATTATTATATTTATAAGCTACAACTGAAAATTCTTGAGAGTGGATGTATCTAGTAGTTGAGGACTGGGCCTCCACGGTGAATACAAGAGGAATTACTGGGCCACTCTGGATGCGTGCTTTCTTTTTTGTACGTGTCCCCTGAAGTGTTTTTATCATGGACTTATTGTTCTTTTTAAGGTTTTCTATATTAAAAAGATTACATTTTTCTGCTGGCCAAACAATTTCATAATTTCCTATTATTAGGCTGACAATACTTATACTTATTTCGTTTTTTTTCATAGTACATATACAGTTTGCGTCTTACTTTATTTCACCGTCTTAACACTTTGTGCCGCAACACAAAAATTCATTCATATCTCCATTTTCTCTTAATTCATAACATTAATTACACTTTCTCCTTTTTTTATTTGTACTTTTTCTAATTCGCAATCCGCGTTCTTTTTAGCCATTCTCCTATTTGGTATTAAAAGCTAACTGGCACAACATTGATTTATTTAATTATACTTCATTGTTACATCTTAGGCTAAAGGCTACAATGGGCGGACTTAATGCCTAATGGCATTCTCTACCAGTCAACCCTTGTCATGGTGAGAAGTAGATGGCAGGTGCTAAACCAAATAGTAATTAGAAGTAGGAAAATATATACATAAAAATTAATTATAATGTGTGGGCATATACGAATATATATATATGAATATTATTAATCATAAACTACATATATATGATATACATGTATAGATGAATATACAGCGTGTCGTTACCATCGCGACAATAAATGAACACACGTCTAACGCTACTTGCCAATAATCATAAAAAAATATTAACGTTACAAACAAAATCCAAATAAAAAAAATATTTTTTTTTATTTGGATTTTGTTTATATATATATATAGATACATAAATACACACATATATATATATTTACATATATAACATTCATATTCATATGCAGTTTTGTTCTGAAATTCCTCACTTTGTAGCAGTGTAGCCAATACCTTTGCAACTATACCACGGAGTAATTGCCACTACAAAGGCTATGCATACTTCTGCCTTCTCAGTACAGTACCTTTTGCCGTGTCCGTACCCCAGACGCCTGGAGCACTGCATAAGCTTATGGGCCAGGGCGGATGTATGGATTTGTTTTGTTGTTATGAATTTAATCATGTCGGCACCCGTGTTATGTATCTTAACGTCTTTTAATACTATTAGCGCGTCTTTGTAATTTATATTCTCAATGTTGAGGTGAGGGATTTGATCTATTTTTAATCTCTCATCCTTTGCGTTCATTGCTTTCCTTATTTTGTCTATGAACTGGTCCCCATCATTATCCAGAATCCAGATTGTCTTCAGAGTTTATGGCCACAGTGTATGGCCATGTTTAGATCTTTATTTACATATGTTACTCTGTCTGTTAAATTCGGTTTTACCATTTCTACTTTATTTTCCTCAATTACTATGCTGTAAGTGCGCTAGTCAGATATGAGAGTGACACTGAAATTTTTTATATATTTTAGATTACAAAATGGTGTAATTTAAACACAAATACTAAAACTTGCCCGAAACTAAGAAGTTCGATTCGTCGATTTCGTGCTTCCCGAACAATCTATATCTACAATTAAACCTTCCTTCCAGGGTCTTCGGGCTCCAATATGGACGCCAGGAGAAAAATCCTATACATTTATAATACAATGAAATGACTTACCAGGTTTCGAAAACAAACTAAAACGATAAATAATCAACAATAACTACTAATATATAACTTAACTGATCCTGTAATATCAAATTAATTTAATTTTCAAAAGTTTAGCCAAAACTTAGACGCCCGTCTACTTCAAAACTTCCCGTGCTTTTTTCACACAGTAAGTTACCAAAGATTTTTATATTCAAAATTTAAATGAATTGGAATTGTTTCTAACTGGCCAGTTCAAAAATATTCAGTGTCCACTCCAGTCTAGCCTTGTTCTCTGCAACCGTGCTGGAGCCACGTGGGAAGCGCCTGTTGCGTTTAGCAACTCAGTTTCAGGCTGTTTGTAACCACTGGCTCTCCTAGCTCCCGCGGCATGGAAGCCGAGTAGGAAGGCGCGCTCGATGTTTCAGCCCGCTTTACCTGGAGGATAGATAATTGCTTCCGTTGATGGAGCTTCTGAATGCGCTGGCAGGGTCGTGGAAGTATGCCATAGCGTTCCAGTGACACTGTCAATATGCGCCTGGGGAGGAACTTGGTGAAAGTTTTTGTCGGTGATAGGGCGGCATAGCTGTCGCTTGTTCACAACGCGTCGGGTAGGCAGTTGCTCCACGTCTACCCAAAAATATACTCTTAAAGTCGACTGACCGCAACTAAACCTGGATAATTATTACAATATTCACTAAACGTACTAGGCTTATAATTCGGGAGGTGGTGTATCGAAGTTAACTTTAAGAAGAGTAAGGCGATCATTTTTAATTTTCATTCATTCCAACGAATATTTCCCCCCGTTAGTTAAGCCGTTACTTAAATATCGTTATTTAATATTAGATCATTGCACTGGACTGGAATATCGAGCACATGCCTACAGAGGATAGCACTGCACTGGTTTGACATTTTAATATCTTTATATAATTTTGGAGTTAAATATAATCTGACCTGGTAACACTGCCAAATTTTATTGTCTGCAGTGCTTCTTTCTTTTGTGATTCAGTTCAGTCGTCAAAATAATAGAGGGTATTTATTTTAAATATCGCCTTTTAGATCACTAAAAACAAAAATGGCAGAGTCAGAAGTAGTGGAATTGGATTTGACGATCGATGATTTAGTTCCAAAAAGCCCAGAAAGGTAACTGTCGTAATCACAAAAAAAATAATTTTACATTTTTATACAAAAGTAAAATTCCAAAAACTCTACCTTTCATACTAGCCTACGGATGTTAACGTTGAACCTTTTATGTGTGGGCATAAATATTTACCTGCTAGCCAATACCTTGACATTTGACCTACTTGTCGCACGTTGCTAACTAATATTATAAATAAAGATGAATATTTGACTTGGAGGGTTAAAACGGATTCTTATTAAACGTTTAAGGAAATTTGTATTAGGAGTGAGTTATAATAGGTATAATCGAATACCTGTTAAGCCTGTTCCTGTTACTTGACCATAACAATGACAAATACCTGTTATAAAATAACACCCTGTTAATTCTTACAATGTTGTGACAAACTGTATGTAAGGTATGTAGCTATTCAATAGAGTTACCTACATTCTGTAACAGCTGAATTTCTGATAGTCATTGAAAGAAAAAGAAAGGGCTTGTGATAGTGACAGAATGCTTAGTAACAACTGGGCAGGGTTTAACAGTTTTTTTCTCTTTTTAACTAAAGTAATAGTCGCATAGTATGAATGGAGAAAATCTTGTGACAGCATTAAGCAATAATTAACTTTTGTTTGAAATCAGTACTGTTATTTAAGTTTGATTGTAACAGTTAGTCTGTCACTCCCAATTTGTATATGTTGACTGCTTTTTTGAATTTCTAATTTTTTTATTGACTTACTTTATTTAAATGTGGAAATTGAGAGTAAATGCCTGTTGTATGAATATTTTTAATCAGTTTCTTGTATTTTTGTTATAGCGGCAACAGGAACACATCTGTGTAAATTTCAACTGTCTAACTATCACACTTTATAATATACAACTTGGTAACAGACAGACAGGCAGACCACGCTCTAAGTAATGTGTTCCATTTTACCCTTTGGGTATGGAACCCTAAAAAACAATGAAACAAAGCAAAATAAATAAATCAAAGCTATTAAGATTAAAATGACAATAAGAAAGTAATCAAAATTGAAGCCCTAAAACATCCTTAAAGTTTTTCCTATAGCACTGAGGGAGGCAAATGCACTGACAGAGGCTGTATGCAGCAGATTCTGTTGTTGCACGGTTTAGCTATGATACTGTAATATCACAAAAAAAAACCTTGAATATTTTATTATATCCATAAAGTAATCCTAGTGTAGCCATAGACTTAAGACATCAGTATTCAGACAACAGTGTAAATGACAACTTATTAAATATAAATGTAAATTAAGTACTACTATTCCAGACTGGCAGAGGAAAAAAAGGAAAGTGGTAACCATTTATATAAATTTAAAAATTATAAAGGTGCATTAGCTATGTACGATGAAGCTATAAGGTTATGTCCAGACAATGCTGCATATTATGGGAACAGATCTGCTTGCTACATGATGTTGGGCATGTATAAGAAAGCTTTAGAAGATGCTCAAAAAGCCGTTGCCCTAGATGAAGCATTCACAAAGGGTTACATTCGTGTTACAAAATGTTGTATTGCACTAGGTAGGTGTTAATGAATTCACATTCTTATTTACAGAGGTATAATCTAAAAAAGAAAATTGTGATAGTATAAATATAAGTCTATGACATGTAATACGTTTTGTGGACTGAATGAGAACAAAGAAAATCAACTTAGAATATTTTAAATTAAAAAGTAAAAGTAAAAAGAAATATCATTAGTCCAAATTATCATTTTGTAAGCTTTGTCATCTTGGTGATAGGTGACTTATCTGGTGGGGAGCAGGCAGCTCAGCGAGCCAGTGAACTAGGTGGACCAGATTGTGTAACAAGTGAACGACGAGCACTAGAATCATTGCGCCGATTGCATGAAGATGCGCAACGTGCACTGGATGCTGGTGATCATCGCCGTGTTGTATTTTGCATGGACCGCTGCCTTGATTATAGCCCTTCATGCACCAAGTTTGTAGAAAATTATATTAACATTTGATAATTACTTTCTGATTATGTACAAACAATTTTTCGTATCCTTATTTTCAATTTATAAAATTATGTTTTGGCTGTATAAAAGACAAAACCTTTTCATAACTACGGTAACAAGTATCATAGCAAATGAATCACATTCTCTTGGTATAAAATTTTCTAGGGACATGATAGTTAAAATTAAAATTGGTTATCATATTATTTAAGTATATTCTACAAATTTATGAATTATTCAATTTTACTTTATGATGAAAATGAATCTATTAATTTGCACTAGATACAGGAGAACCTTTTTATACATTTTCTCATCATATTTTAATATTTTTAAAAAATTTCTACATATTTTAATACAGGAACCTTTTTAGTTCTCAAATATAAATTACACTAGAGCCAACATCTAGACCCAATGCATTTTGAACATAAACTTATACACAAGTAGGAGTTGAAAGCAGAATTAACAAATCACTCTGAAATTGAAACTAATCAATCTCGCAACTCTTTTAAAAAGATCTCTTTCATAGCTGAAACATATAATTATAAAATAACTGTTGTCCAATGCATTGGATTGGTTTTTATAAATTTTTTAGTCCATTTAAAATAACTCATTTTCTTTTCTGTCTCTTTTCAGGGCAAAACTTATAAAAGCAGAATGCTTGGCTATGCTGGGTCGTTGTCAGGAGGCACAGGAAATTGCAAATGACTGCCTGAGATCAGACAGCTTTGACACTGAGGCTATTTTTGTTCGCGGACTATGCCTTTATTTTGAGGTTCGTTTCCGTTTTTAATTATTTCGGCCGAAATTACCGGTTTAACTCATCATCAACATAATTAACTCTTTGAAACAAATTTTTCCATTTTAGGACAAAGATGAACAAGCTTTCAAACATTTCCAACAAGTTTTACGATTGGCACCTGATGACAAGAAAGCAAGGGAAATATACAAAAAAGCAAAGCTTCTAAAACAGAAAAAAGAAGAAGGTTAATAAAAAAATCTTATCAATTTATCATGATATTGGTCTTTTTGGGTTTTGTTGTAATTTTTTGTTTAATCACATTTGCAAAAGCAAAAAGTTAGTCTAATATGTGTCAATCAATTATATATTTGTAATTGTGTCAAAAACTTAAACATATCATTTTTTAATTACTTACATCTTTTATTCTAGCCTAGTTATTTTTAAGCAATTTGTTTTATTGCAAAATATGACATTAATATTGAATTATGTTCTCATTTAGAGGAAGGAGTTCTTTTTATTAAATAATTTTATTTAATTTTACTAACTAACTTTAAAAATGTATATTAAATGTAACTCATATTATGCAGTATAGTTCTGTACCTCAGAGGTAAACAACATTATGCAAAAAAAAAAAAAAAATATTACAGGAGGCAAAAATGCGTGGAGTAAATCATTGAATGCATTATTGTTTATGACGTCATATACAATTTTATTAATTAGGCGTTGTAGGACTTAATGCTTTATACTATTGTGTAGTAATTGTTCTTGCGATTTCAATGGTGTAAGAAAAATGATTTTGCAAAATGTGGAGTTACTATTGTATGCCTCTGACTTACAGAGTTGACATTAATGTGACACCATGCAAAAGGTATTAAGAATAATTTCTTAACCAGGTAATGAAGCATTCAAAATGGGCCGATGGCAGCAAGCACTGACTCTGTACAACGAGGCGCTGACCATCGACAAGAACAATAGAACGGTTAACGCAAAGTTATACTTCAATAAAGCGACTGTGTGCGCAAAACTGAATCAAATCAAGGAAGCGGCCGAAGCTTGCACGGCTGCTTTGGAGCTGGACGAAAACTACGTCAAAGCGCTACTACGGCGCGCCAAGTGCTATACCGAGCTCGGAATGTTCGAAGAGGCGGTGAAGGATTACGAGAAACTTTACAAAATCGACAAAAGCAAAGAAAACAAACAGCTATTGCACGAAGCCAAAACTGCGCTGAAAAAATCTAAACGCAAAGACTATTATAAAATACTTGGGGTCGAGAAAACAGCTTCGGAAGACGACATCAAAAAAGCTTACAGGTATTGCTTCATCTGTGAATTATTATTTCGATGTAGAATGAAACTCGCGCGATCAGTTATGTTGATCGTTCATTTCTTTTTGAATTAAAAGATAGAAACATAATCTTATTATGTGTACTTCACACAATAGGAAAGCACATAGGAAATCGGGAAATAAATATAAATTAATTTGCTGAACTTGCCAGGTGATATGCGTCTCACATACTGTTAGAAGGAGAGGCTTGTAATGCGACGCTGTGACGCGAGTTGTATAGGCTGTTACAAATTTTGTTTCTTTTTTACTTAATTAGTTTGTTTGAAAAATATATTTTTTTAATTATGGATTTTTTTAACGCTTTATATTTTTTATGATTATTGGCAAGAAGCGTTAGAAGTGTGTTCATTTATTGTCGCGATGGTAACGACACGCTGTATATAAGCGATTATTATATATTAAGCGAAATCATATAATTTAGTGAGGTAACTAGGTCTTGCATATTTTAAGTTGCAATGACTGCCGAGTGAAACTTCTATTCGCTTGCCACCGTCTTGCACGTACAAAAGTAAGAGCTTTTTGCTGACGTTGGTGCATACACGCTGTATAACTGACGGTATTCTTTAAAAGATTATGTTGAAGCAAAGTGGGCGTGACCTCGGGCACTTCCGACCACCGTGGTATTCCTTTTTTTTGTCAACGTGCGGCTCTCGTCCGGCAGGAAACGCGCATTGGTGCACCACCCGGACAGGCACGCGGACGCGTCGGACAACGAGCGGCGTGAGCAGGAGCGTCGCTTCAAGGAGGTGGGCGAGGCGTACGGCGTCCTCAGCGACCCCAAGAAACGCGCGCGCTACGACCACGGCCAGGACTTGGACGACGGCTGCAGCGGCGCCGGTGAGTGTTCACGCCGCCACCGGTCCGGCACACCGAGGCTATAAATACACGCACGCGATGGAAATGGATGTATTATATTCTATGCATTCAGTGGCTGACGACGGTTATTATTAATTGTCATTGGTCATTTGCGTGTATTCTATATCTCGAAAAATCATTTCGAATTTTATTTAAATGTGACATAATGACTCAATTGGCATCTTAATTACCTAATATAAATTACATTTATTTGCATTAACATAAATTCGCCAATTATTGTGATCTAATCCATCTTCTTCGTTCCAACATTACGGAAATTAAAATTTTTATAGTGCTAATCTCTGTACTATAGATGAGACATACAAAGATATTTGAAATTGTTTGTGTGCTGTAAAGGACATAAGAATATATGCGACAAGCATTGCTTAAAATAAAAAAACAAATGTACATGAAATACATACCTAAATTGAGTTGTTCGTCGTTGTGGCAATCAGCTTAGTGGTTAAAGCTTATACATCTGGGGGCCGCGGGCCGCCCACAGGCTTTTTAAGTTTGTCAGACCATCTTGTATGTAACAAGCGGGTCGTAAATCGTGCGGTCCAAACAGCTTACCACCTTATCCAATATGAACTAATAATATGTCAAGAATTTGTAGACAAAACCGGCCAAGCGCGAGTGGGACTTGCGTACGAAGGGTTTCATACCATCTATAAAAACGGCAAACACGTCATGTCTGTTGTATGGCAGCCCCACTTAAATATTTTTTTATTCTGTTTAACAAAAATACATCCCCTGTGAAAATTTCAACTGTCTAACTATCATGGTTACATGAGATACAGCCTGGAGAGACAGACAGACAGCGGGGTCTTAGTAATAGGATCCCGTTTTACCCTTTGGGGTACAGAACCCTAAAAATGGACGAAAAGTGTTGTGTGTGCTGCGTATGTATGTCTGCCATCTTAATGGTTCCCATTGCAATCCAAATAACAACATCATTTGCTCTAATGCACTACCATAATGCTATTTTAATTATGAGATTAATTTTTCAGGACCTTGTATGGATAGTGACATTTTAAATAAACCTTTCAATTTATTTTATTATTTCCAGATATCGACCCCAACGTCGTATTCCAAACATTCTTCAACCGTAACCAGAACCACTTCGACTTCCAGACTGGAGGATTCCCTGGATCTACATTTAATTTCCAATTTGGCTAATAATACTATAATAACCAACTTCAATATATCAAAACTTAAAAATGTCTACAAAGTACAATGTCTAAATTTGTCATTCCATGTTTGTTGTGTCCAACGCATAATATACTAACACATAATTTTATTTCGGCTTAAGTGTAACCTTACACCAAAAACAGTGAAATGGCAAAAATTCATTATATCAGCAAGAAACCTTTAAAACAATCTAACCCCCGGTTTCTGAAATACTAATCATCGTAGAAGTCAACTAATCAGCTGTCAAACGGATTTGCAAATGTTATTTGAGTTGCCAAAAGGATTGTTAAACTCTCTGAATTTATCAGAATGATCTTCCTCATGATCAGAATGGTCAATTCAAAGAGTTTATCAATCCTTTTGGCAACTCAAATAACATTTGAAAATCCATTTGACAGCTGAGTAGTTGAGTTCTGATGAAGATCAATGTTTCAGAAACTGGGCGTATGTATTAAAAATGCTTAACTTAAACATGATTACCATGAATATATACTGATGATTTCCACATTTTAACAAAATGTCATGTTGACTGTTCAGATTAATAATATTATTTTATTACAATTGCCAGAAACCTTCCTTGTTATAAATACAGATCAACTACGTATTCAATTTAAATTAATTTAGTAGTTGAAAAAATTAATTGATGACTAAAACTGACTGACTTGATAAAGTCATCTGAATGTTTGTTGCATATTATGTTATACACTGTGTAGTGTTTCAAACAATTTCTATGTGTATCATTTTATAAATACATCCCCTCAAGAAGACTAGGAGGGAAACAATGTTTAAAAATTAAAAAGTTTGTAGTCTATTAGAGTATTTTTCCCTGTAAACACAATTAAATTCTTACACAAAGCGTGAATTTATTTCCGTTAATCCCCAGGAGCTTCTTAACATTTTGTTTACTGCATTCAATTCATGAAGAACAATGAATAATTTAAGAATAATGTGAAAAAAAACAGTGTAAGTTTTTACACACTGTCTAAAATATATACTTAAATAAACTCATCTGATGGTAGATCAGGTCTTTTGTTTTTGAATGCCTTTTTTTTAATCATGAAGAACAATGAATAATTTAAGAATAATGTGAAAAAAAAACAGTGTAAGTTTTTACACACTGTCTAAAATATATAGTTAAATAAACTCATCTGATGGTAGATCAGGTCTTTTGTTTTTGAATGCCTTTTTTTTAATTTTTTTAGGTAATATAGCGGCAAGCAAGCAGATTCATCTTTTTTTATGTGAGAAAGTGGCAAACGAGCTGGCGTTTTACCTCATGTAGTGATAACCGCCGCCCATGGACGTTTGCAACACCCGTAGTGTTGCAAATGCGTTGCCATCTTTAAAATAAAGTGGCCCCCGGCTACTTCACTTACCAGACGAAACGCAGAAATCGATACCTTAATTGGCAAACCAGCCAACTCCACTTTTGGTCAAAAATGTTTTTTGGTTTCTATTGTACGCAATAATCATTCCGCGTGATTTGCAAAAACAACAACTCCGATATAATCACAATTCTTTCTATAAATCGCTATTCGCAAATCAGCTAACTCCGCATGTCACGGAACGTTATAATTTTAACAGTCAACTCCAACAAATCGGCTATTTTGTATGGCGTCTGAGTCATGTACAGTTACCGCCCTACGTTTTTTGGAAAAAAAATTGTATAAAAACGACAAAAGGAAAGGTAGTGTTGAAAAACAATTGAACGTTAATACACAGATGGATACTTATTTTATTTCTTACAAAACAGTGCTAGTTAATTGAGCAATGCTAAAATTTAATATTGGCTTTGAGTTGGCCGGCTTGCTTCTTATTTTATTACGCTACGTTGGAAGTGATACAATATAAAGTTTATTAAAAATTAGAATTAAATTTGATGATACCAATAAACCCGACTCTTTTCTGGTTGTTAATAACCACGTTTAAAAAACCCTACGACGCTTTGGTTGGGCATGATAGCGTAGCTTCTAATTCATCGAATTTATTTGTGCAAGTGTGGATCGGGAAGTCGATAGATGCAGGTGGCTCAGGATCTTACTTCGTGGCAAGTTTTAAGCCAGCTTACCTCCCTACAAGTAATAATAAATCGGATAACGATTAGGCCGTTCCTTTAATACAGAAACTACTAAAAAATCATGAAACAATACTACTGTAAGTAAAAGAGAAATAGTGTTATCCAATGTCATAATATTTCTGAAGATGACGGAAAAATATTATTTGATAAATTTTGAAATATGACGGGATAAAAAAAACGAATTTACGTTGATAATTTAATAAAAATTATACATACAAATAGGCAAAGAGAAAGGAAAGGACCCTTAAAAATGTAAAAAAGTTAACGCTTTTATATGCCACCCTTCAAAACTGGTGTATTTATGATATGAAAACTAGAGATGGGTGTTCCTTTCTATGGAACGAAGGTAGGCAGAGTTCTGATTAGTTTGCAACGATTTTAACCAATTTCTTAATTGATAAAGTAATTCTAACAATAGAATTACTATTAATAAGAAGATGACAACAGATATTAAAAAATTAAATTAAATTTGATGATACCAATAAACCGGACTCTTTTCTGGACCCTTTCTTAACAACCGTTAATAACCAATTTTTAAAACCCTACGTCGCTTTGGTTGTACACTTGAAAAGAAAAAGAAAGTTTTTATTTAAAATAAATTTATCAAGAAAACCAGCTAACTCCCAGATCACATACTTTTGCACGAAAGGAAAAACGGATAACTCCTAAAAAACGCTGTAGTATGGTAATGAAAATGTATAACGAATATTATAATATCAAAAATGACAATTTACGGTAATATCTACCAACTATATTTTAGATTTTCTCATAAGTACTCTAAAAAAAATATTATACAGTTTTAAGTGTCTCCTGTAAAATTTGCCCATATGGAGTTAGCTTGTTTGCCAATTAAGGTATCGAAATGTACTTCTACTTTACGTCGGTCTTCTGCGAGGTCGTGGTACTGACCCGGACGGACCTGCTCATTAGTGCAACAGTGAACACTTGTGTGGCCCTACCATCGGAAAAAATAATACGAGTGATTAACAGATTTATTTCCTTTGGTTCGTCGCCCATGGACATCCTTACTAATATTATAAACTCGAAAGTTTGTATGTATGGATGGGTGTTTGTTACTCTTTCACGCAAATACTACTAACTGAATTCTAATAAGTCTGCAATAATATAGCTTATACATCAGAATAAAAAGACACAGGCTATAATTTATAATTATACATATTTTATGTATATCTGTTTTTATGTCTGAATGTTACGCCTACAGCGTATTCTATGCAGACGTAGTCGCGGGCAACAGCTGGTCTAAAATACATATAGGTTTGCCCTGAATACCTCACTCCCCAGGCGATTGCTAAAGAATAGTATTGTATTTTGACGGATATTGCAGAAATAAGCAGAGTACTTTTATATACTTATCTGAAAAATCTGGAAATAAATTTCATTTGAGTGGTTAAATCAACTTAGCATCTAAATCAATGATTACAGTACATTCTAAATCTATGGGTTAAATATAAAAAAAATATATTTGACATTATTTTTTCAGCGAGCGCCCGGACACTAAGCCGAGCCCGGAGACCAAGCTTTTAATTTATGGTGCAGTAATAGTAAAAAAGCTTATTTCAAAAGTTTTTTCAACAAAATTTAAAGCAACAAATAAATAATTGTTAATTGTATTCAAAACATGTTCTCGACGACAAATTTTCCAGTTAGAAAAAATCATGAAATGACCTTTAAAATTGAAATCGAAAGGCAAAAATATACACTATAAATGAACAAATCTTAATATCAATGACGTGAAATTATTTAATATCTGGGACTGGTCCATGTTCCTGTAACTTCATGTGCCGATTTAAGTTAACGACATTTATTAAACTATTAAACATTAAATCTGTGACGGTTTCTTAATTTTTTTTTACTATTTTATTAAAATTAAAAAATCTTTTAATTTTAATCCTTTATGGGAATACTTTTATTTAATAAATTCTGCATATACATAGGTATCTATTTGTAAACACAGTTGTGACTATATTTCATTCTTTTTTTCGAAACTCATGGCCTTGTCCGTTGGTGAACGTTTTGAAACAGTTTTGCTACCTATGCCCTCGAATCTGTAAACAATTCATTTTATAGTTAAGTAGTATTGTTAAAATAATATTCTTCGTGCTTTATTGAAAATTAATAATATTTATTTCAAATATTATCTAATACCTCTTGATTTTGAACGGTTTCTTTTTTGATGGTTTCGGCGGTTGATGATTGTTTTTGAAAGTTAAAACGTAACGTTTAACAACATCTATATTTACAGTGGTATTTTCCGGATACATTCGCTTCTTCCAAGCTTCTCGCTCCTCGAGCCACATTCTATGATATTCGTAAGACAACAACCATTCTATTCTCGATGGGCCCTCCTATATTCATTTTTGATGAAGTAATATATTATGATTAAATTAACGGTTACGGAACGATTAACTACTCGATAACAATTAAGTATAATTTCACTGGTGATACCCAAGTGAAGCGAAGTAACAGCCTATTAATGTCTACTGAGTAAAGGCCTCCTCTGTTCAGAGGGCATTTTGTACTATGCATCCCCACTGCGGATTGGTGAACTACACATGCGAACTTCATTTCGCTGGAGCCCAATTTTCAAAAGGTTGTCAACGCATCTGTAACCCTCGGGTGTGGTAGATGCCCATGGGCGGCGGTATTCACTTAACATCAGGTGAACCGTCTGCTCGTTTGACAACTTTTAGCATAAAAAAAAAACATGTTCGATATATTTTTTTTATTTCAAAAATATGTAGATTTCCTCACAGTTTTTTTCTTCACTGTTGAGCACGTGGTAAGTGAGCACTTAAAATTAACAATTTAATACTAGTGCCTGTACTGGGGATTGAACTCAGGTTGTTCGAGTATGTTGATTGTATTAAAATCGAGAGCCCGGACAATGAACTATCACGGCACAGCGAGGTAGATGTTAAACTTCTGTCTGTAGGTTTGTGATATTTAGCTGTAGTCATACTCAGCTAACTTAATAAGATTTTTTTATAATTCATCGTTACAAAATCTAATTCCACTTCTAATCTATTCGAAGTATCATAAGATATATATATAGTATCTAATTAGTTTAAAAAAATAAATAAAAGCAACTATTATCCTTACTTAATAATATTATAAAGGCGAAAGTTTGTATGTATGGATGGATGTTTGTTACTCTTTCACGCAAATACTACTGAATGGATTTTAATGGAACTTTACAATAACATAGCTTATTCATCGGAATAAGACATAGGCTATAATTTATATACATATTTTATGTACATCTGTCTTAATGTTACACCTTCATCGTTGTTCCGTCGGGGGCAGCGGCTAGTATTTCATATTTATTATAATTTACATCGAATTAAAGGCATTATTTTAATGTCCATTTTCTATATAAATGTCACGCCGGATATCTCCCACTTAGCTACATTCTAACGCTCAGTGCACAGCAGAAGATCTGTGAAGGTCTACACAAAGAGCACCCTCGTAGCAAGCCCGGATATTTATATCGGGCTAGAATAGACTAAAACCTTTTACGACGCAAACCTGTGAGGTAACAGGTATATTCTCCTACATGCGCTACATTAATAGAGGCTCTTTGTGAACCAGCCTATCACCACTACTTATGATGTTGATGATCACCATTCGGGAAAGTAAGATGGCCCCACAGAAAACCGTCAAAAAGTGGAAATATTAGGTAGCCAGGGATTGCCTCCTCTTTTTTTCATAAAAAAGAAAGAGTAGGTTAAATATACTGTATTTCCACATCTCGGTTCAATAAAATGAAAATATCGACATTGATATTTTTCATGTTATATTGACATCTATTTTATGTAATAACATAAAAGAAATTACTTACTGTAAACTTCCACGGTTGAGGAATATATTTTGGAAAATCTGATGAAATTATATTATGAGAGGGTCGACATAATGTTGATTTCTCCCATTTTATACCTGTCATGCGACCCATTAATTATACTAAAATATATTTATTTATAAATTTGTGTAAATCAGTAAAATTAATGTCACATAAAATTTTAAAAATGACAACTACTTTATTCATATTTTGAAGTAACGATCCAAGATAATTATCTTTTGCTTTATACTTTAATAATAAAAATTCTATTTTTCCTAATGCATTAGTATTTCCCGAGACAGAATGCATACTTTTAACATCATTTATTATATTACTTATTTAAAAAAATAGGGATTTAGGGTAGATTAGGGGAGATTGCGGGGAGATCTGCAAGTTCAGACGTTGGGTGCAAACAAAACACTCAGTAAATTTTCGCGCACGCGTGGCATCTGGCGACGCAACGGTTCTTCCGTTGCTGCATCGTTAAGCCCCTTTGGAGGGTGAATGGCACAGATATGGTAGAGATGCTATCGCATGGTGAATTGACTCATATGACTAGAATAAAGAACGTAGGGAGTCAAGACGGTGCATGCGAAGCCTCGCGACTAGGCCGCGTACAGTGTTTCTTACAATATAGGGCTTGATGTCGCCATTTTCTCCGGCTTTACCTAAGCTGGAAAAATTTACCTAATGCAGCCGAATATCAGCTTCTGCAGCCTAAAGTAGCCCCAACACCAAAATATTTTCACCTCATATAAAAACCATAAAAGCTTATATAAAATTGCGAAGTTATTTAGATTCTGCTTCTTCTGCACAGCAATAGTAAGGCACCAACAACATTTTGCCGTCAAGTCAACATCGTCAGTGGTAGCTGCTGTGCTAATATAGGCGCAAGCTTAGCGGAAATGTACGTCTTCCCAAAAGCGGAAGACGTACATTTTTTCCATTCATCGCAATAATGCATCACATATTTTCCTTTCAAATTACTTTGAAAACGCACAGGGTACGTTTACAGCAAAAGTGATAAAAAATAACTGTAAAATAACTATTAGTAAAGCCCGTGACACTACAGTAAGTCCAGTGGCATTTCTAAGATGAAATGGAAGAGCTACGTCAAAAAAAACGTGAACTTACTAATTTGAATGTTTCCATTACGGCAAGTGACGAGTCAAGCCAAAGAGAATTTATTCACTACGTTTAAGAGACGGGACTTCCATACTAGCCAAAAATATCAGTTTACGCGGCGAGCGAGCGAAAGAGGGGTACATTTGCATCATCATCAAAATAAAGACAATTGCGATTAGTCATTAATAGCAAAATGGCACTTTATTATATCCTAAATTTGATGACAAAAAAAAACTAAATTTCCCTTTAATAACTAACCATAAACCAAAAGGGTGGGCTATTATTAATATCACAGAGCTAGGGGAAGTTGTTTTTATTAAAAGATTATGTTCATTCTTGTTAGCCTATTATGCGTTTATATTGATTAGAAAATTAGTCTTACTGTGTAAACTATTATAATATTCTCGATTAATTATAAATTTATGTTCGATAAAACTTTTGTAAAATAGCGACATTATATCTTGGAGATATGGCAACATTGAAATGTAAATTAAGATCCGATATTTAATTTATTTTTCATAAAGACTTAACTAGAGCTGTAATTAGTTGTCAGATGCTCTCTTGGCACGGTCGTCGGAAAAAAAAGACGTAATTAGCGAAATATTGTAATAAAATTATAAGAAGAACTTAAGGACTACTTAATTCAATGTTTAAAACCTATACTTCTGAAGTTATCCTATATTCTTATCTGGTTTAATTTAAATAGCTTCTCTCTGAAGTAGCTCCATATGAATGGTATTCAGATTTGTCATCGCATTTTCTCGTCCTGATTATATAGAAAAAACCTACGTTGGCCGAATGTACTCTTTTATTCTACAATATAACAGAACCCCGAGGTTATTGAGGCCTTGGGAGGTGGTGGATTTTCATTATCAGGGGTCGCAGTGATGCAACGGATCGGACATCTATATTTTTTCATTGCAAAAATAATAGCTGAAAAAAATCTAACACTGATATTATTTTTTATAAATATTGTATATTTCTCCACTTCACTTTCAACATCCCTAGTACCATAGCAGCACAATAGAATAGAATAGAGCCTGAAGTGGAAGTGTTATGCTTTCGCGTTTCATTTGTTCATGGGTAAACATTAGGTGAAACTCGTACTTGTTTACACTTGCTAACTATGGTTATTAAATGAAAATTGATTGGGTTTTTCACATTTTATTAGATACACAAGTATGCAGGGAAGTAAGAAACATGGTGCTTTTATCCACTCCATTTATATGTACCTGAAAATATGAAAATATGTTAAGATTTATTGTAACAACAAAGTAAAAAACTAAAAAAACTAAAAAAGTTATAAAATTATGAAATTGTTTGCTATAATATAGTCCTCATAAAGCTGTAACATTTTCATGAGGGTGGAGATAGCATTTAATCTTCCCTCCAATTCTTTACATTATTCTCATATTGAGATAATGACTGCCTCGGAGGTCTAATAAATTTCTTTTTTGGAAATATATAACCTAATTCTTTGCTGTTAATAAAGAAAGGAATATGGTCAACATGATAATGATAATATCATTATCATGTTGACCATGACCATACACCTTTCTTATATACCTATATTATATTATATAATATAGGTCTCCAATATTTGTTTGTCCCCATGAATCAATATCAATAAACAAAGAGGAATTTATAAAGTTGATATTTTTTCCAAAAATAGAAGACATTTATTTGCTTGATATTATACGATTCCCACAGTTGGGCAGAGGGCCTTTAGGAAAATCAGCACTTTAAAATATTGTGATATAATTATTTAAGACTAAATAAAAATCTATTCATACAATTGATACACAAGTCAACCATGAAGAAATTTGCTATTTATATGTTACACTTGCAGAGCAGAGAATAACCATTGCTCTCCAGAACACCTGGAGAGCAATGGTTATTCTATTTATATTTGTGGGATACAACCCCTTTTCACACCTTTTATATCTTTTAAAGACTTAAATAATATAAATTTCTGGTGTGAGCAATAAGAATCAGCTCAACATCAGTTGTATATTGCAAACTGTTAAGTTTAACTACACAAGTATTCTAAAGCAAGGCTGCCTAATAAGTCGTTTGGAGCATTTGAGTGATAGAGGAGATCCATATCTTTTTGGAGAAGCTAATACATAAATATAAATAATTTCAGACACATTTCTACACAACTTCCTCTAGTCCAAAAGTAAGCAACACTTTTATTATTAGTAATAGAAATTCATAAATATACTTTGAGTTTGTAAATAAAAACATATTCTATATATAAAATGTTGCGCTTCTGACACAACCATAAGTCAACATACATATAGATGATAACTTTTAAAATTGTACTAAACATTTTATATAACTTTCCAAAAATAATAATTTTTGAACACCTGTATGTATGAAACTGTAACATAAAATTCATTTGTAACAAAGCATATGCATCGGTTAAATGAATTTAAAGTAAAAGTAAAATAACAGCCTATACATGTCCCACTGCTAGGCAAAGACCTCCTCTATAAAGAGGGTATCAGGGCATAGTCCACCACGCAGCCCCACTGCGGATTGGCGGACTTCACATATCTTCGAAATTTTTTGTTATTATTTCGAAAATATGCAGGTTTCCTCACAATATTTTCCTTCATCGCGGGGCACGTGATAAGTCAGCACTTATTAAAAACTTCATTGGTGCCGGCACCGGGGATCGAACTCAGGTTGCTAGACTATATCGAATTAAAGGAGTGCCCGGACACTGAACTATCACGGCTCATAAGAATTTACGGCTGTTAAATGGATTTAAAAGAGATAAAATATACTGTTAGAAGGAGAGATATTAATGCGATGTTTTGGCAACATTTTGTTATGTGGAAAGTTGCTAAGGTCGATGAACATAAATTAAACAATAATTACAAGATAACAATTAGCTCATAATTTTAAAGTTTGAGAAAAATAATTGAATTTTGCCATGCTAAGGCATTACGTTGGATACAAGTATATAATTTTTCCAATTTTAACAGGTAAACCTCGTATTTACTGTGTTGGAGAATACAGTAATAATTAAAAATCTTATTATTCATAACTTAAGATATATTGTTATTTCAACTTATAGGTTATGTTCGTTTGGTATTCATTCATATATTCATGAGCCCCGCCTGCTCAATTTTTTTTCATTTGGAATGTGATTATTGTTTAGGTTGTTTCACTACGGCTTAAAAATATTTATATCCGTAAAACGAGCGTACCGCTAATGTAAAAGAAAATTGTTTTCATTTCAGTGACATATTTAACTAAATCGTACTGCCTCGCCGCGTGACTATTGATCAACACGTGTTATCATTCAACATCTTTTATTATTCTAAATAAGACAATTTTTTAGACGTGTTTTAAAAAAAACTTTTAATAAAGCTAACAGTTAAGAGATTTAATGCAGTCATTGCAATCAACAGTCGTTGTAAATTAGAAATAAAACCGAAAATAATATCAAAGCTTACCATTTATTTAGACCTCGCACGCATCTTCCTCCTTTTACGTTTTAGCCTTCGCATACGCTTCTTACGCCACTGAAACAGTTATAATAAATTGATAACAAAATGTGACTAAAACTTACTCATTATAAACTAAATTGATACAAAATAACAAAAATACCTTGGCTCTCATGATATAAAAGTTAAAAGTAAGAGATTGGTGCTTTCGAAAAAAGTCTGGACTTGATGATTGTTTTGCAATATCAAGATTAAAAATTGCAGCCTCTGCTGTGGGCGTTCTGAGTAAAAGAAGGAACTTTCGTCAGTGACATAAAGTCATAAACTCGATTTTATTTGTGTTGCCATTGCTAGATTTTTTTGTATTACCGATACCCATTAGTTACAACATTAAAATCTGATGGGAAAGATTATTCCCAACCAATGATGAATTCTATGAAAATAATTAATTGACACATAGAATAATAAAAATATATTATATTAACACAAAAATACATAATTATAAAAAAACGTCTTTGTAAA